TATTCTTTGGTATTGTACTCGCTATTCAATTTCTCAGATCATGTAATTAATATAATTTTCTATCCATTTTTGGAATAGAATATTCCGCTTGATAATCGTCTCTGCAAAATTTTATCAAAAAATGATCAACTTTCAAAAGACATTTTTGAAGTTTCGTTCGTTTAAACTCAAACAAGCTTATCTTTTGCAAGCTATAATGTGCAAAACCATAGCCGCTGGCAAACTAAAACTACACAAAGTTGAAAAATTACCCAACCCGAACAAAAAAAAACGAAATAAGTTTTAAACAGCGACTTTTGACCAAAATTTCAGTTGACTGAACTGTGGAAAATTACATTCTATATCCCTCCGCGAAAAATTAACGCTCGGTTTTAAACTATCAAAATTCAAAAAAGCCAACAGAAGGTTGCAAAGGATTCAAGGAACTCAAGGAGTCCGAAAGAATGATTGACTAAAAAAAAACTTCCGAATATATATCATTTTTAAGCTCTTTCATGATGATTAACCCTCTCTAGAAAAAGTAATAAAATTTGAGAAAACCGGATCGATAGATAAAATTTTTAAGCAGTAAGAAATTGCCTTCTCTTTGGCAATTGAATTTGAAATGAACTAAAAACCTGAAAAGACGAACCGCAGAAAATCCAAAGTGAGCGTGATCGAACTTCAGGATTTTCTGCCGAAAAAAAAACGAAAAACCAACACGACCAATACAACTGCCTTCACTACATTTCCTAACACAAGCAAATCAACGAGAGATATGAGCGTAAAAAAGGAGCCATTAATATCGTTGACTGCGATTGGCTAGCATTATTAACTCAATTCCACTAATTTGTTCGTCGACATTTTATCAATACACAGCGTTCCAGTTTGCCATTTAAGCCGGTAAAAACAAAGTCTTGGACAAATTATTTCAATTCATTCCCTTCATTATCAACATCACTTCAAATTATAGGACAATTTTTTTTCATCGCTCAATAATTTGCAGACTGAAGATAACAAGTTTTATCCAAGAACAAGCCATTCAGCAAGACAAACTTTCCCTCTTTTTTGATGCTCTTTAAGAATTATTCCCGTATTTTCCCATCAGATTTTGTTCTCTAGTCCAGCTTTTTGAAGCCAATATCGCTGGCATTTTCCTGGAAACACTGTCTGCACATGTTCAAGTTGTACTTTCTGATCAGTCCGTGTCTGTTTCCACACACTTTGCATGACCTCGATCCTAAGAAAAAACAGGATGGTAACTTTTACTATTACAAGCGTACTTTTAACTATTACTGATTATTATTATCATTATAATTGATAATTATCATTACAACTATAACTGTTATTGATAACTATAGTTAGTGATAACTATTGCTATCAGAGATCATTATTCAAATAACTATTATAGCGAGTGCTATTATCATGTCAGGGGGACCAAACGCGCTATAAATGTCAACTAATCACCGTTCTTCAAACAGTACAAGACTGAATGATTTTCCAATTTATTTCATTCACAGAAGTTTCTCATTAAATTTGGTAGGTTTGCGCGGTAGTTTAGTGAAGTGGAACGTCAGAAAATTGAAGCAGAAAAAAATTCATTGAAAATTACCTGGTCCGAATCTTCTCTGATGGGCATACCACGTCGGCTGCACAGCTGTGAACATGTCCGACACTTTCTTGGGGTTAGAAGAGATCATTTTGGATACTTTCTATCTGATCTGAAATTGCACAATTAATTTACTAATGAATTTCAAACGAAACTCGGAGGTACTGAGCTCCTATCAAATTGTTTTTCTGAGTTCTTTGTTGTCAAACTATTATGAACGCTTTTCTCTCGCACATTAAATCTTGGAAGCCGATCCAACGAGGCGAGAAGGAACTTGAGTCTGCAGACAATTCATTGGCGTAAAAAGTTAACCAGATCTGAAATTTCTTCCAACTGGAAAAACGTTCAGCCTACACGGTGATTCAACAACCAACCTAACACTCCAGCTTCTGCAATTTTTAGCGCAGAGGTGCACTTCGCAACCTAAAACAACAGAACTGGTTGAAAAAGTGAGAAACATTCTGTGTAGATTTCAGGGATTGCTTCTCTAGGTCCGTTCACACTCTCTAACTTAACAGCACCGCAAAGTGGTCCCTTTGGTAATGAATTCAGCGGGGCAACCGAGATTCACTACTATCCACAATCCCGAAAGGGTTAAGTTGGTGGCAACTATTCTGTACTGTACTCTGTTACTTGCCCCCCTTTGTGCGGCTCTTGAGGCTGTCTTGCTCACTCTCGCCGATCGCAAGACTTTCCAGTACTTATTAAATTCAGATAAATATTGGTCCAAATACAGAAGGCTCTAGGCGGCCTAAATATAATCTAGTAATCTAATCAGAAGGAAAGGGTCCGCGATCAATCAACACAATGGCAATTCTCTTTTCTCTAGAATATCCTAATTAACGAATTACTTACAGTAATTCCGCTCAATCACTCATTCCGACCTACTAAAATTAATAGTGTCGCTAAATATCACTATTCTTTTGAGGTACTTTGACTGATCTCTTTACCTCGCAATTCCTGATTCTCTAACTATTGAGAACCCAAATAATCTCGCTACTAGTTATCACTGTACTCTAACTAACTGAGAACCAAACTACTCTTAATAGTAGCTCAAACTGTTCTCACTCTGACGGAGAACCCACTAATTCTCTCTTTAGCAATTCTTGTTCTCTGCTCTAACGGTAGGCTACTCGCTATTCTCTATAATATTTGTCTATTTGCGTTTTAGTTATAATTAGAGTTATGCCGTCCCTACAAGTCCTGACATTTCGCAAGGTCTTAACTGAATTCTTCCTCTGACGACACTAGTCTTAAGTTCCAAGTTCCTTAAAGATATCTCTAACTAAGTTGTTCAAATATCAAGTCCAGTTTCACCTCCAACTGAGTTATGTTTGATTAACCAATCTCCTCAAGGTTCTTATTTAATTATGCCATTAAGGTTCCAACCTCCCAGGGTTAGGGGAAGACCTTTTTTATGGATTGCTAACTCATCCTAAGCATCTAAAACTCAGATCTACTCTATTCCAATCCCGACCTTCTGGCTATCAAGGGAACGTAATTCACTTATTAGTGGTCAAATCGGGCCAAAAAGCCACCTCCGGGGAGTTAAGAAAATATCTCGTCGATTCATGTTATTTAGGAGTCCTACCTCCCATGCTTAGCTCCTATTATTTCAATTTCCTCTGGGACTACTTTTCTTTTAACCTGATTGTTATTCTATTATTAGCTCACCCGCCAAGCTAAGTTCGCCAAGTCTATTTTAATTAGTTCCATTACTTCAATGATGCAACGTATAAGTGATATCTCTTTCAGCTTCTCATTTATTTCCAAGAAGGTAAGTTCCTTCCCAAATATTAGTAAGGAGACCGAATCTCATTCCCAAGGGTTGGGATCGGCTGAATACGCCACTTTCCGGCTTTTTATCCCGAGGTTTTCTATAAAAATTTGGTCCTAAACGCCCAAAGGTCAATTTGATGTCGCCCCGGGGTCAGCCAGGGTCAATCTTCCACATTCAGATTTAGAATCCCATAGGGATCCTACCTACCAAGTTTCATCCATATCCCGTTAATACTTCCAAAGTTATCCTATTTCTAGGGTCCATTATCACTTTTCCCGGGAAAAGGCTATTAACACCGGAAGGAGTCGCCGGAGGGGTTTCAATCACTAGGGGTCTTTTTCCAGAAATGAGTTGTAGTATCTGATGCTGCCATAAAATCGCCAGGCCCTCGGTCATTATTTTGCGTAAATTGCTTACTTCCGGTTTCCAAAGTGCTAATAACTTCCGATTCAGCCGCTGGATTTGGCTCAAATTATGATACCTGATGTATCTCGTTGCTACCTATGCTATCCCAAAGTTTTAGCTCCCTGCGTTCAGTGGGGTCAGAGAAACGACTCCCGGAATTCGGGGTGGGGTCTATTTGCATAGGGCACAGCACCGGAAGGAGTTTTGTTTCCCTTCCACTCGCTAGTTACAGAGTGCTGGTAGGGCTATTTGCACTTCCGGGAACCGTTATCACTTAGGGCCGGGGGGTCCGAGCGAAATGGATTTTTGCATGCCCGGGTAAAATCATCTCTAGTATCCGTCCTATGAGTTTCATAAAGCCAGCCCCGGTAGTTTCCATTGGGGGATATTTGCAAATCTTTTTTCACCTGGGTTTTCCGCGCCACAAGAGGGACTATATCTTCGGAGATTCGAACTATTTTGGACTTCACTATTTGTTTACTTTTCTACTAATCTAATTGACTAAACAATCTTCATAGTACGCGCTCCCCATTAGCTTTACACTACTGCATGCAAATCTCAAGGTAAAACGTCTCAGTCGAAGTCTGTGTTTGGCAAAAGTGTTAGGATCACCGCTCCTACATTCGGAATTAAAACATGGAATTATAGCCATGAAAAATAAAACATTCAAACGACTCCGTGATTCGAGCCACATATCTCCGCATTGAGAGTCACATAAAGTATCCACCGGATACGAGCGCCCGCTTAAATAAAATCAGCTTAAATAAAAAAATAAAAGGGAAAAAGGGGCAAAGCTCTGAAAAGCGACACGAGGCGAAATACAAAACAAAAATTGCCTTGTGAGAAACTCGAGTTTCAATACATATTTTAAACCTCAGACACCACGAGATTCGAACATTCGAACTTGGTTTGTCCCCCAACCTAGGGCTTTCTTCCGCGGGGAGAGAGATGTCATCCATTTTGCGCAGCCGGTCTGACCTTGAGGAGGCGGATGACACTGAAGGGCATCCAACCATGACCGAGGCCAATAGAACAGAGGACAATTGACACCAGAAAATGTAACACAATACTACGTATCACAATGCTACGTTTACTCATCCCTTCATTGGAAGCGCACTACCCAAGAATCTCGACCAAATGTGTGATCCCCTCTCTCTTAAACAATGCATACGAATATCTTCTTCGATAAAAACTGAATTAACTATTTCATTTCAATTGTAACCATTTAACATCTACATTTACTATTAGTATACTAATAAACTATTAAATTTTACAAATAGGAATGCAATAATTTTCGGAAAACGAGCACAAAATAAGGAATATTTGAAATATTGCTAAATTTAAATTCAGATTTTTGAACAACAGAACTTCTGCAATTCATGCATTTGATGCTATCGTTTCTTCATTCTGTTGGCTTTGCTGCAACCTTTTCAACTTCATTCGTTCTTTTAAACCTCCTTTTTTGACTGGTACTGTTTTTATTTGTTTCTGTTTCTCGCTTTGGATTTCTTTTAATCTCGCTTTCGCCTCAGCTAGCCGTCTTTGAGAAACTAACTTCAATTCTATTTTCCACAAAACTTTGAAATCCCGCACAAATGTGAGCCAAACATCAAAAAAATCTGATGGCAAAGTCTCGTCGACAGGATAGCAGAAAAACACTAAGGTCGACTCGAACACTTTTTTCGTATCGGTCAATTTGTTTTCCAACTTTGAGCATTCTATTACTGCGTTTTTAAGCAATGCTCCCATTTTGCTTTTAAACGGTTCAATTTTCACATCTTCATCCGGGTTCGATTCCAAAACTTTCCTTACATTTTCAGCACATTTATCCAGATCGTTTTTAACCGCATTCAACTGCTCGCTAATATCTTCAAAGTTAACAATACTACATTGACTAATCGAATCAGGCTCTGGAAACGGTAACGTTAGAGTATCGATATCGAACTCATCCGATTCTTTTTCCTTGGACAAAACGTACTCTTTGATGTAAACTTGAACCACGTATGCTAAAAATGACGATTGTTTATCTTTCGTTTTCATGTCTTTCAGTTTCGGTAAAATATCCAATTTGAATCCTTCGGCTTGACCACGTGTCATATTTCCACCATTTAGGAAATTTCCAAGAGCCAAAACTATTCCTAATACATTTCGAATCGATGACCAATTCGTCAACGCGTCGCAAACTTTACCAAATAGCGTTAATTTAACCGATAATTCATTAATAATTTCTTGAAAGGTTCTTTCAAACACTATACAACTACATCTTTCTTCAAAGTGATCCAATTTCGAGAGCTGAAGTAAAAATTGTTCAGGTTTGTCTAAATTAGCTTCAGGGTGGGCTTTGATTGCGCTCAATTCATCATTTGTAGCTTTCATGTCGCTTAGAGCTTGCATTGCGTCGGGGTCCAAGACATCCCCTTCCAAGTCATAAACTGCCGCTTTTATATCATCTATACTTAAGTGAAGCCCGGAAAGAAAAATTCCTACAGCTTCTGAGCGTTTTTGATCTAATACTTTAATAGCACCTTGTTTAGCAGATTGTGAAGAATTGTCTTTTAGTTTCTTTCTTATTATACTTTCTTTACCGAAAAGAATGCAGATTTCATCTTCGTTCAGTCTCGGTTCCTTCACTTCGTCCCAGAGAGTCACGACTTCCTGACTTTTTTGAACTGACCGCTTAAAAATTGTCAGTTTAATTTTCTGCCAGTAAAGCGACTTTAACTGAACACGAGGTTTAAAATTTGTCACAGCTCTTCCAACCAACCCTGGTGCTATAAAACGTGAGGCATTGGGAGGGGGTGGGGGTAATCCATTTGGCCCGGGCATCGGTGGGGGAGGCGGAGGTAGTCTAGCCCCGCCCGGAGGTGGTGGTGGTGGCGGCGGTGGCCCCGGGTAACTTCCAGGAGGTGGGGGCGGAGGAGGAGGAGGCGCTTTCATCCCTGGCGGAGGAGGGGGCGGCGGTGGTATCGTATACCCTGAAAGCCCCGGAGGCGGTGGTGGGGGCGGCGGAGGCATCCGCGGAGGAACAGTACTACCGGGTGGTAACGGCGGTGGCGGAGGTATACAAGATGACAACAAAGTTAAAGGCGGCGGTGGGGGCGGGGGAGGAGGTGGTGGTGCCGATTTGACTGAAACTAATTTAACGGCCGGAGTCTCTTTGACTTCTATACTTTTGACTCCGTCACTTGTTGAAGATTCTTCATTGGTTAATTCGACTACAGTTGACATGTTTTTGTTGGGATCTTCAATCGGCGAGGACATCAAAGGTCTTTCCTTTCTTTGCCCACTTGATACAAACTCAGGTGACTTATCGTCTCTCTGGGTGCTAGCTATCACATCTGAATCGCCAATAGTAACTGGGATCTCAATTTTTAACTCAGACTTCAAGTTTTCATCCACTGAAAAGTCGAATCTTTCTTCGCCTCTGTTATCTCTTTTTGAAGGCGATTCCATCCCCGAGTCTCCCATTTGAACCGGAAACGTTTCAGTTTTCGCAATTCCGACTTGGTTTAAATTGCTCACACTTTTACTAAAGACTGATGATAAACTGGACGGTCTCTCCGTTTCCGAACCGGGTGTTCTATTTTCAAATAGCATCTTATTCGTTCTGGCTGTTCCCCTTTGTAAACTATTAAAATTCTCCAAATTAGGACCGGGCGAAGGTGGACTTAATGGATGCGCGTACAAACTGTTCACATTAATGGACGAAGGCGCTCTTCGACCTGTTGAAACTACTGGGTTATTTATAATAGTATCTTTCAACTGGTCCAGTAAAGCTACAATTTGAGGCACTGCACTATGCGTTACTCTCGTTTCTTCAATTTTAGCTCTTAATTGCTTCAAAGCTTCTCTTTCTTCTTCGACTTCTTGAATTTTAAGCTCATTTGTTTTCATCGCTTTTGCTAATTTCATAACTTGTTTTTCTTTTTCTTTAACTTTTTCACCAAAATCTTCTTTCGCTTTCTGTAACTCTTTTTCGTGCGCTTCTTCTAACCGTTTAATTCTCTCGCTGTATTCTCTCTCTAATGAAATCTTTTGAAGTTCAGTTTGTTTGCTGGCATCAGTGGGGGCTACTTTGGCTGGAGAGACCACTGGAGGCCACACTGGGGAGACTGCTTCTGTAGTCACGGCTTTATCTTCCCCAGTTTCCTCTTTAACCCTGAAATAAACCATTGACAACTGCACTTTTAGAGTTATTAGAGCAATTTAAGACATTCCTGGAAAAAAAAACAAAAAAATCATCACCTATTTAGGTGTAAATGACTTTGAAAAACTTCGCATGCAATCTCGACTTCTCAAGCAACCTTGTGTCATAAATTTTGTCAGAAAAACTATCTTTTGCATGCAAAAAGTGTCTAAAATAAGTCACTTGCTCTTTTTATTTAGTTCTTTCGGTTCCAACTACTTGCAACAAATAACATTCTCAATACTATACCTGTCGAAATCTTCATTTGAAACTTGGACCCCTTTCGACTTCAATGCACTTGACAATCCACTGACCAGACTTGAGAGTGTGTCTGGGTCCACTGAACTCTGTAGGTTGCATGAGTTTATAATATCTGCCATGTTTATTGTGAGATCCAAATTGGATCCCACAGCTGCTGGTAGGAGGTGTTCTTGTTTCAGAGTAATTTCTTCAATTTCAGAGAGGTTTGATAATGTATCCGGTCTTTCTGGTGTTTTGATCTAAAACCGAATTAATGCTATTATAAAACGCAGTCTTTCTTGATTCAAATCGCTTTCATAATTCATTGACGGTACCGCAGGTAGACAATTATACAGTAGCAGAGAGAGGGACTGAGTTTGACCTGTATCACTAAAAAAAACACTTTCAGTTAACACAAAATTTCAGCCCGCTCAAAAACAGTAATTTGAGCCCACTGAGTTTCAATTTTCAAAATTTTCCCAAAAAGGCAACCGCAACATAAAAATAAGGATATTCAACATTTGTTGGTGTTTGAAAAATTTTGGACAAAAAGCAGTTGACTAAATTGATTTTGCCCAAAATCCGCCACTCCTTAAATATTATATGACAGAGGCGAAGCCGACAAAAAAGTTGAAAATGTCGAGAAAAGCTAGACCTACACGAAAGCATTGCATCAATTTTTCTTGAATAAAATTAATTTAAAAAAACGTGCCAAAAACAATTGAAAGTAAATTTTCTATCGAAACGAAGCGGTAACAGAGTCGAAAACTTTTTGAAGAGCCAAAAAAAGTTTTCATTATTCTTATAAACAACATTAAATTAGCGAGTAAAAAAACTCACACACATCAGAAACTTGTTTCGACGAAGCAATATGAGGCCACAAAGCCACTTAGGTAAACAAAAAACGGAAATTATACCACACCGGAGTTGTTTCATTTAAAACCAACAAATAACTATTGAATATAATTGGTATTTGAAAGGCAGGCATGCTCAAAATATGTCTGTTGGTTGAAAAAAGTGTAAATTTGAGAAAATTATTCAACAAAATGAAAACAAGACAAAATCTATGTTCCCAACTGACAACGCTTACTAATCGCGAGCCTAATAATCGCATACGTAATAAATCTGTGCACACTAATCGATGATGCGAAAATTCCACAAAAAAAATCAAAACAAAAACTTAAAATCCGCAAAAATCTCTGAACTCCACCAATGGGGCTTTTGAAATGGCATTACGAAATTTGGAAGATATCTGATCCTTCAAAAAGAGTCCGTGCTATGTAATCTAACCCGACAAAAATTAACAAACAGAAGATAGTCCGAAAAAGCAGAAAACTACTAGCCAGCAAAAAAAAACAGGCTCCGGCAATTTTCGAAGCACAACCCCTTGCAGTTGTTTTACCTCTATGCAAGATACGCTGGAAGCATGCTTGAAATTGAATTTATTATGAAGCAAGTTGCAACACTTAATATTTACACGTGCGAACCTTGTTAACAAAACTCTTTACGGGGAACAAAAGTCTAATACCCGGTTGCAACACCCTTGCTTATTGCAAGGGTAAAAACACGGAGGGCAGCGTAGGAAACCTAATTCATAGAATTATTGAGACAAGGAATAAATTTCCACTAAAAGTGTGCTCACCGCCTCTGTTTCTTGTTCCATAGTCATCATCCTGCCATAATCAGCCACCACTTCCGACGTATCCCTATCTCCCCTTTCCTCATCCTCCTCATTGATAGGTTGGGCCACTTTGACCACCACCGAGTCTGAGAGGGCGTCGTAGAAGACCTCTTCATTGTCGTTATTATGGCTTAAATTCACATGTGCATTTGAGACATTTCTCACTCTCGAAAAGCTGTCGTCGATCTCGACCTGAAAACAAAACTTAATTCTTATTCATTTTATTTAAAAAAAAAAACTTATTTCTTAATCGTTTTCCGAGAAAAAACCTTTTCTTATCCGTTTTCTTCTAAACGAAACTCTTTCTTATTCAAAAAAAAAATTCAATCCAGAATTAACTTGTGACAGACCACTGGATCACAGCACCTCGCCGTAAAAAACCAATTGATTATTTGCTCAACGAAATAAAAACATGATATGTTATCATACGTTCCTAGCTAAATTCGAACCGCGTTCACTCCTATGGCAGTCGATTGCGAAAAACCACTTAATTCCTAAAACTGGTAAACATACTGCGACCAGAGGAATTATTAACGAGGTTGGAGTTCGTCTCCCTGCATGATGGTAGACGCTCTTTATGTCGATAACCACCAGGCATTTTCATAACTACTCCGTGACTACCAAGAAAGCAACACATATCAAACCGACCGCATTCAACTTAAGCTCCGACCATTTGAAAAATGGGGAGGAAATTTGTATTCCGGTGTTTTAGTTTTTTCTTTTTCTTTTTTTTACACAATACAAAATCAGCTACCACAAATAACTATCGGACTAAGTTGAGTGATATATCATATTAAAGCCTTTCAGTTGCAACTCGAACGCATTCAAAAATTTCCAAAAGAATTTCCCAGTGTCGAGAAAATCCGGTTTGAAATTTTTGATTTTTGGTCGTTTCGAGCTAATAAGGTTAGCATGGAGGCTTACAATAGCTTAGTTATGGTCAATGTAAGCCGTGAAAACTTCGTGTTACGCGAGTAGTTGGTTTTTGGATTTTTTAGCGCCATTTTGGGAACCAACAATTTCAAAATACTTTTTTACAATTGGCTTAATTTACTATGACTGTCGAATGTGCCTAAGTTCTATTTTTTTTTTTCGTTCAGATCCTTTGATCACACCACGCAGAAAAAAAACGACTATTTTTAAAAAACAAAAAAAACATTTTTTTGTATTTTTAAGGCTATGGTCGGAACATTCTGTGCTACTTGCAGTAACCGGCTATCCTTGTTTTGAACAGTGTTTTGAATAGTATATTGAATACTGTCAAACTTATTATGGTGGTTATACTCACGTGACCAACACCGGAAAAAAAATAGACTCGAAATTCGACAGACTTCTTGTTAGCAGTCGAGTCAGTCAACTTAAATATGCCACCTCTGCTAAGATTAGCCCGAAAACATCTATACATAACATCTATTTATATTTCACTTTTTTCCAACACAAAAAAATCTTGGCCATCTTACTCATAAAAACCATGCATTGAATATTAACACAAAGGCGAAGCTTCGCTTCGTAAACACTAGACAGAACGACAAAAAGCAGCTCTATGAAGTGCAACAAGAAAAAGTAGAAATGAGGCTCGAATTAGTTAAAATTCTGCAACTTCTCGGATTCGATCTCCGACTTTTTTCGACTTAGAAATCATGAGTCTCACGCACTAACTACTCAGCCACGGGCACTTTATAAATCACAAACACTAGCCACAAAAGCAGAGAACAGAGGCTATGAAATTTCCAATGCTACAGATCGTGATTAAAGCAAAAGTGCTACCAAATAAAAGAACACTTTTAAAGAAGTTTTTTTGCGAGCTAGGTTTACAAAAGAAGGTTCGTAGTAATACACTACGCTGGTCTCAAAAATGTCTAACAGTGATTCGAGTCCCTCGCCAACCAAAAGGTACCCCTTTATAATTATTTTATGAAATCCATTTTCGGCCGACCAACCCTTTTATTTTTCTAAAGGCTAAATTTATCTAATATATATATTAACTTTGAAAGGCAGCGCGCGCCGAAAAAACACACTTTTTTGATCAAAACTTCCCAAAAATGTCCAAAACGGCATTTTCGACATGTTCTTTTTTCAAAAATTTTGTCAAAATAGTGTTCTGGAAGCCGTCGAAAATTAAATTTGGTCCACCTAAAAAAAGGTCGACAAAAAATTTGATTTTTTTGGAAATCCACACTAACCCCCCCCCACCCCCTCAATGAAATCCTAGATCCGCCCCTGATGTGAACCTCAGCAATTCTTATTCACAGCAAGTTAAAAACTTCGTCCTACCTAAGATCTCCAAACTCCCAATTTTTCGTTTACAATCCCTTTTATGCATGCTTCCGCATATATTGACAACAAATGACACACTGATATGATGTTAAAAACCTATTTTTAATTTAACTTCCAGTAAAAAAAAACACCACTGTTTCTGGTCCTTCATTTATGATAATCTTGAACAAACTAAAAAGAATTGCAAGACCCACCCATCCTTTTTATTACCTCTTCATTGATGCTGTTGCTCGTGTTCGCGCCCAGACCCGAGAAAAACTCGTAAACCGACTTGGCTGAGTTGAGAAACAAATCAAACTCTTCTTCTTCGTCCAACCCACTAAATGAGGTCGAGACATCGTTCGGAACGTACGGTCCATCGAAGAACTGCGAGTAATTCGTGAACGAATCATCGTCATTCGTTCCCCCGAGTTTAGACGTTGTTGTCGACGCCTTCGCGGTTGTCGTCGCGACACCAGAACCCGCATTCGCGTCGACGAGGTTGACAGATATCGTTTTGTGGTCGATGATCTCACCCGAGAGGTTCATTGAGGAATCTTCGGGAGGTGTGAGGGGTTCGTTGAAGGGAGTCGGCGGTCGCTGAACTGATTTGGACGCCATAGTAGTCTCCGACTTCTACCGTTGAACGGAATTTATTCCCGTGCTTTATTTACATTATGGCTTCAGCTGTAGATTGCTAACTATGGACAATAAATTGTACATCTGAAACGAATTAACGTCGTGCAAAACGAGGATTTTTCATTTTTAAAACGGTTGTAACTCCTCCAAAATACGAATGCTGCCCAATTTTACAAAAAAAGCTTGTCACATTTCGAAAAAGAGTTTATTTTTTTGGCCTCCACCCGCGAAAGAAATAAGTTAAATGTTTGTTCACATAGTCCGATTGTTGTTAAAATTGAGTCATTATTTAGCCATGACAAAAATATTTGGTCTTCATACTTAATCTCGTAAAACACTCGTTGCACCACAAGATTTGTGCTCACGCAAGGTGAGGGAGAAAAAAATAGCCAAAAAATGACTTTTGGTAGTACAAAAACTGCCTGATAATTGCTGCAGTCATTGGGACAGAACTCTGATTTGAGGCTTTTTCAGTTTTTTGGCCTCCGTCTTTTTCCACTCAAAAACAACTAACAGAACTGAGCATCAGATGGCGGCGAGAGAATGACTTCCAGTCGTGATTGCAAAAACGCTTTTTAAAAAAGTAGTTTTTATTAGTGTCGTTGAAAAACGTTACAATTTTGCTAATGGAGATCCATTCTTTACTATGGGATCAGTTAGGTGTCTACTGACCGTTTAGCCCCAATCAGTTCTACTGATGATAGAAAGGCTTCAAGGGATGGGACACAGTTAGAAGAAGCAGTAAACGTAAAGTGAACAAGTTCAAGTTTTGTTTTTGAAACCGAGTAGGGGTGCTTACGACTAGCCAGTTTGAGTGATGGAATTTATCTTATTTAATTTGGTTTTATATCGACTACGATTGAACAATCAATTTAAATATTGATGAAAATCTTTGACCTTATGCCAATAACTTGTATAGACAATGCCATAAATCTGCTGCTTTATGTTTATTCAAACTTAAATATTTTTTTCCAATGTTTTCTTTAAAGTTTTCAGATATATACATTTCATTTTCTTTGAAGATCTCAAATTTCGTATTTCATTTGATAAAACGGGCGAAGCTCTGTAACTTAAATGGGTTTGTTAACTGCCCCCTCACCATTTCTGGTGCTTCATGTTTAAATTCTCGCTATATGCATATTTACCATTAACAATGAGAAACAAATTTTTTTTTCTAAATCAAAACTCTTAACGCGAAAATATCAAAAATTAAGAATCTCAAAAATCATCAATGGGATTGAAATAAGTCTTTAATTTTTTCAAAGAAACATTATAACAATGTTTTCTACATTGATTAAGCTGCTACTAGCTAGTTTTTTGAGCTTCTGAGAGCCCCTACCAGGCACAGAAAAAATGGAGAATTCCGAAAATTTCGAAAAAAATTCTTAAGATTATTTTTGCAGACATAACTCTGGCCAAAACTTCTACGCTAGTTGCAGAGCAACCGGTTAGTGCTGTTAGAATTTCGTATAAGACTAACCGGTTGCAAGTGTATAAAGAATTTCGCATTCTATGCACCCACGCTAACCCCCTCATCCGTCTTCTGCTTCAATTGTTCGTATTATCACTACAAGTCTTTAAATGAAGATACAAAAAGTATAGATTTCAAATCGAATTGATCCACTAGTGAAGAGGTACAAAAACCAGAAAAGACTAGAAATCTGAAGCAACATTATGCAATAAAAACAAGAGAGAAGTAGTATAATATACAGAGAATAAATTACTTGAACAAAATTTCAACATTATTTACAAGTGAGTTGAGAAAAGAAGACCCAGAATCAGAATATTAAGAACAATAGAAGAGATTAAAGCGTATAAATTGATATCAACATCATCACACACTACCAAATACACTCTTATGCCGAATAAATCACAAAATAGTTTGATTTCTGAGAACAGAAAGTTTTCTCTTTTTCTGTTTAATCTCAATAATTAAACATTATTCGAAATTTAAAGAGGGTTTTACAACTCTGTTACAATAATCTAGTTCATTTAACTAACCAGCTACGATATTTCAATTATTACATTGAATATTTTATAATTTGAGCGAATTTTTTTGAAGAGGATTAGAAAATTTTTGAACAGCGTCATCTAATGTCAACAGAAATTAGCACATAATAAATTTGATTATCATTTATCCATAATTACACTTGTGAAGAAACAGTACGGTTATACGAGAGATGATTTTTTCGATTCCACAATTTGTGATGCGATTTTGGCGCCCTTTGTATCAATGGTGTCTATTACGTGGTGCTTTTCTTCGGTTTCGTCGGCCATGTCGCTTTCTTTCTCTTCGACTGTCGGTCTTTCGGACGAGCCACTTGAGTCTACAGAAGGTTCAGTTTCGAAACAAAATCCCTCCTCTATGTTCCTGTTAATAAACAATTTGAAACTTAACCCAAACAACTTATTAAGCTTTGATGATAGGCACTGTACCGCATATTCGGGCAAGTATTCGGTTGATTCATCAAAACTTCCTGTACTTTTGAAACTTGACAGCCAACTGTCAGTTGGAAAAAGATAACAAAAAATTGTTTTGAAATTTTTTCAAAAAGAAAACAAGGTCTTAAAGCTCTTTGAACTGCGAAAATCTTTTATGATTGAAACTTTCCAAAAAAACTCCGCAGATTCGAAGAAAATTGATCGTTAAGGTCAAAAATCAATTGAGACATTTTGCGCAGCTGTTCTATTACATTGTGAAAAATATTGTGACCCGGTTTCTTTTTTTAACATCATTGAATGAAAAACATATGCAGAGAAAGAACCTAGCCCACAGACAGTTGGAAAAGTGTCAAGCGCTCATTTGGCATTCTTTAGCAGATGAAATTGAAGTGAGCTTACAAAAACCAAACCACAAAAAATATAGTTTAAAAAGAACTTTCAATGAAAAAAAACACAGAACCTATCTATCTTGTCGTACCTTTGTTCACTGGGCGTGATCATCGCAAAAAAAAGCGTTGAAATTTTATAAAATACCCAAAACAGCTCTAAGCGATCTCATAATGTGCTATCGACATAGAACATGACAGGAAAATAGATTGACTAAATGAGACACAACCAGTGGAAAACAACCGTCAAGAAAAAAGATTTCAAAACTCACCATCTTGGGTGCAATGGTTACCACAAGAAACAGTTTTTAAGCCGAAATCGTACTTGCTCCTGGAATTAAGCTTCAAACATAGCCAAAATAATGAAAACTTCAAAAAACCGCAACAATTCAAACTGTTGTCTGGAATCATGTTTTATTTGCGGAAAGCACATCCAGAAACACAATCAACGGCAATTGATGAAAATTCAAAAAACCAATTAACAAGCGTCAACTGAGCCGACGAAACATTAACCCTTAGAACAGAAAATATAACTGTCGTCATGAAAAACTAGAAACTCTATTCTAAGAATTCTAGCATTTTGTGCGATCCGGAATGAAGCATAGAACTTACGCTTCCTTTGAAATGTCCTTAAATTAGGTCACTAAGGCGATAAAACGTAAGCCGTAATCATTTCAGTCAAATGAAGTTTTTGAGTGAAAAAAAACACAAAAAGAACAAAATATACGAAGTCAAGGCTTGTAAAATAATTGCAGGAGTAAGTCGAAACACTGAAAAAAAATAGCCTATCAAAGATTGGAAAAGAGAAATGAACGTAAGTAAACACACAAAACACTGAATTTCAAGAAAAAATCTCAACTTTCGAAGAAAAAAACAGATGCTCTTTAAGATCTTTGAACTTCGAGAGCAATTTATGATTGGCGCTTTTTGATAACATGAACCCAACTAGAGAAAACTGGATCAATAGGCAAATTCCGCTGGATCAAAATTAAATTCCACTTCCGAAACTAGAAATCGTTCACGTTTTTTTGCGCCTTTTCCACGTTTGTTATTTACGTCACATTCAGCAGATGAATTTCAATTGAACTCAAAAGCATTCATAAATGCATCAATATGTATGAATGCAGATCTTCACTACGTTCATTACTCTTAATAGCGTACAAAAAAATCAATTCTACGATGCGGCAACCAACTCGAAAAACATTAACAGACAAAATATAGGCCGACATTTATTGGAAAAGAATATTTCAGTTTAAAAAAAAACAGTTCCTGATCAGATTCGAACCCACGAACTTTAGCGTCCCAGGCGTATTTTTCACCTCCAGGCTAAGTGCACAAACAAAAAAATTTAAATTCATTTTGAACCAAGATACAAGTAATTCTGTTAAACAAGTTTTTAACCAGAAAAAAAAAACTTTATTCCAATTTGATAACGCTTGCTAATCGCAAGTACAAAAATCAAAGTCAAACCGATTTAAGATGAGTTACACAAACATTCATATGCTGAATTTGTACCCAAGACTCTAGAAAAAATGATCAATACTCCATGCCGGATAATTAAAAGTTTCCTTAACGATAGGCAAAAATGTATTATTTAGGGGAAAAACCGACAAATACATAATTCATCAATTATTTTCATTTAAAATAATATATTTTAGCCTTTTATTAACTTTATATCTGGTCATACATTTATATCCTGTCCCAAGAAAGAAAAATTGATGGAATTTTGTTTTTAATATTATCGACTTCATTTTTTATTTTTTTATTGTTTATCACATATCTCAGAGGGGGGGGGGGGGGGTTATAACCGAAAAGACTCTTATTGGGACTGAAGAGCTATCAAGTAACACTTGCTAACACTTCAAAACATTTCACCTGCTCTGATGCAGTTCATACCTGATATCAAGGTCATTATTATGTACAATTTCCGTCTCAACATTCGACTGCTGCTGCTCTTCATATTCACTTCCTCTGTCAACAAAATCCAACTCCTCTTCGCCCTCTATGCCTCTCAGAATTTCGTCTTCACTGACCTCCACTGAAACACGTGATCAGAATAAGTTGACCTTGAAATGACGATGTCTAAGTAAAAGCGGTCAATTAGCCTACAACTCACACAGCATAGTTGCCTTTTTCTTTGCACATTGTGTCTATTAGACTATGATTTAAAAATATTAAGATTTAGAATCTAAATGTGTCGTGATAAAAAATTAATTAATTATTAACTTTGGATCTACTTAACAATTGCCCCCCCCCCCCCTTCTTAGAAGTATAATAGCTAAACAACACGTTTTGGTTAAAAAAATGTGAATAATTCTGCTGAATGAGGAGTAGGCTAAGTGACTTGACCTCGTTTTTAGTAAACGAAGACTATTAACTAGTACTAACTAAGAAGTAATTCATGCAGCAAAGCAAACAAGACAACAGAGTTGCTCGCATAGACGACTGAAGTGGCTATTCTTCTTGGCAGAATATCGAATGATAAAAACTTATATCAGCCAATTAAAATTCAGTCTTCGAAAAACCTTGAAAGAGAGCGTGACAAATCATCCCGAGTTTTAGAACCCGTTTAAGGATTTCTTGGATTGATTTTTGATTGCTTGGAAATACTTTTGCCTTTCGAACTTCTGCCGTAAGATTAGGCCAGCGACTGAAAACACTCACAAGATCAAAAGTAAAACCAGAAAAAAATTAAGTCTAGCTATGAATCGATAATTCTGAATTCTAAATGAAGTTAATCATTAACACATGATTTTAAAAAAAAAAGATTCCATTCGCAGATCAAAAAAAAATTCAGAGCCGCTAATTGAATTCGTTCAATCGTTAAGAGCAGAACATCATTGCGACATGAAAACTGCTACTTAGCGTCAAAGCTACTTTTCTTCTCTTGACTTAAAAAAGGTTATTTTCATCTCCCGGTGAGATAAAAATAGGACACATTTGGTTGCATTGGGGAAATTCAAAATGTCCGCTAAATCTAATTATTCCAGGAACGAATTAGGAAATTGAAAAGCACTTCAGTGGAACAACTTAATTTGTTCAGCGGCACTCTTTAGTCCAAAATGTCTGCCCAAAAGTAATAATTGGAACCGTAAAACGGCACATACAACAGTATAAAGTATATGAGAAAAGTTAGCTTGATTCTCAGCCCAATCAAGTTTGAAATAGAAAATGACCCTCAATAATATGAGCGCCCACTTAGCAGCATATTCGAATAGCCGGATTACAAAATAGGATCAAACTGCTTCACGTGCCGAATGCAAATAACATAGTCATCAAAAAGTTGGAAAGGAGTCAATGAACACAAGTAACAGGAGCGGATCTAGGATTTTCTCGAGGAGGGGGGGGGGGGGGGGTTAAAAATCGACAATTTTGTTGACCTTTTTCCGCGCCGCAGCCAAAATTTTGAAAAACAGGCCAAAAAAGGCGTTTTAAGCCACTTTTTGGAAAATTTTGACCAAAAAAAGCGTTTTTTTGGCCCGCGCTCCCCCTCAATTTAAGTATATATTGGCGCCAAAGGCGCCTTTAGAAAACTTTTAGGGTCCGTCATCAAACATGGATATCTCAAAATAGTACAAAGGGGGACCAAATAGTCACCAAACATGGATATCTCAAAATAGTACAAAGGGGGGACCAGAATAGAACATATAGTACAATTCCATTTTCGCAATTAGAAGTCGATCCCATTTTTCGTGACCTGTAAACTTTTGCTGTTCGATAGTAGAGTTTGTCTTCCTTTTAACAAAGGAAATAAACTGAATTTTAAAAGAAATCTAAAGTCAAACCTGAACCTGAACAAATTTGAGCCTGAAGAAATTTTAAGACTTTCCCCGAAAAAAAAACCATCGCGAGCTATATAAAAGTCCGAAGTACTTTCATCGACTCGCAATCAGCTGAGCAAGCGATCGCTATTTGCCGATGCTGCGTTATATTGCTTTGGTTTTTGTTCGTGATTTATCATGATCAATGTAATTCACCGGCAAATTATAGTCTAATTTTCACCGCACCAGTTCCAATTATGTAACCGAAGAGCATAATTTCAGCTCTCACGGCAATCTAAGGTCTATGGAGTAGTGTTAGCTTTTGAAAAATGGATGAAATTTCCAAAAAGAACAAAAAAAAATTAAATATTTTTCTATTAAAACCGTCTTCCAAACGCTATGTAAAGTACATGCAAAGTGATATATTTCTCATATAGCAAAGTATTAAATAAAATAAAAAGCAAGCAAGTCAATTTGGAACAATTTCGAAGACAGATTAAATCTCTGTTTGGGCGTTAATAACAGGCAATAAATTATGAGGTAATTGTCCTAAATTGGCAATCTTCAAACCCTCCCCATAACTTGTCAAAAAAAGATCAACAGTGAAAAATGTTTTCAAATTTGAGCTGAGGACAAAAAAATCTTTCGAGTGATAAAAAAACTTCCGTAACATTCCGAGTGATAGAAAAACACCCGAGCAAAACATTCGGTCACTTTCTTTTGAAGTCCGGACAAAAAAAACAGCGAAAACATTACAGAGTTTTATTGGAAAAACTTGGAAACTGATCAATGAATTCATGTAGGCCATTCTGTGACATATAAACCTCTGCTGTTCGATACTGTAAGAAATTTGAACAAATAAGTCTTCATAACGTTCATTGAACAAAGGACCTAGGGATGCCAACGTTTACTTTACAAAGGCGAAGTAGATTTTCGTAACACCTGCGATAGGACAAAAACAAAGCGTTACCAGATAGTGAATCGAAAAAGTAAGTTGAAAAAATAGCTTGAAAAATTATCTTTGAAAAAGTCGATTACCCGGCGATAACTGAGGCAAAAAATCTGTTGACTACCTGTTCAGCCTGAAAAAGCTGCTATCATAATACACTTCGAGCTATAAAGTTTTCACAGAATAATTTGTACGGAATGCAAAGCAAAAATTTCGATATTTCATAAACTCGTTTTAACCAATAACCTTAGTGTTTTCTACTGAAATAAGGTATCAATCGCTCATGTAGGGACGAGCCTACTTTCCGTTCTTCTAAATGAACTCAATGTTAGGTTTGGCAGGACAGTTTTCAAGAAAAGTTTCAAACTATCAAAACTTCGGAAAATGGACGTTTCCTAAACCATATCTGCTTTCCTGAAAAAAAAATTAAGGTGTATCTGCTTATCCAGAGAAGATCTCTACATTGTGTTCAATTGAATAATTAACTTCAGAACTGTCGGGCAGTATTTGGGAAAAAGTTTCAAAAAACGATCTAAACCGACGAAAAAAAGCCGTAGCTGCTTCTTCAGGGAAGATACTCACAGGATTTAGCTTCGATTGAACATATTATCACGAAGACAATTATAGAAAAAAATTCCTGTAACATATTCTCGATTTAACTCTAAACCTCAGATTTGGTAGGGTAGTTTTCGAGAAAAGTAAAATTTGCTAAATTTGCAAGGTAATTTTCAGAAAATGGACTCCTTACTTAAACCATAACTTTTTCTCAAAAAAAAGAAGTCACAGCCTGTGCATCAAAACTCTCGCAACCTGCTCCATAATATGAACCATCAATCTCAAATTGAAATTTTGAGAACCAAAAACGGTTCCAAAAAAAAATTGACTTTTCCAGAGGTCAAAACTTTTTTTCTACATAAATAAGTGCGTACCAGCCAGCTGATGCAGCGAAGAAGCCCGCAATCTGATACTTCAATTGAACAATTAATCTTGAAAATGGTAGGGTAGTTTTTGAGAACAGCCCCAAAAAGTTTCCAAAAAACGGCCGAAAATTCGAAATATTGACAATTCCAAAAACCAATTATTGTATGGTACAGCCGAATACGCAGAGATAAAACCCATGAAAGATTTTCAAGAAAGAACCCTTGACCTAAGAATTGGCAGGGTATTTTTCCAAAAACGGTCATAGTATAACAAAATTGTACTTTTCACAAGGCGATTTGTTTTGTTCTTACAATTTGTTAGGGCAAACCAGCTGATGTAGTGAGGGTTCCTTGAACCCTTTATTTCCATTAAACCCTTAATATTTCCATTAAACCCTTAATATTTCCATTAAACCCTTAATATTTTTTAGAGAAAAGTAACAGTTTCCAAAAACAATCGAAAACTCGAATTAAATCGTCTTTTCCTAAAATTACTACTAGTTTTCTGCAAAAAATTGGGACAAATCCGCTTAGGCGGGGAGGATTTCAAAACCTATTTTTCGATTAATTCTGTAAATCCGATTTAGGAGGATATTTTGCGAGCAAAGCCAAAAATTTTTAAAGAAAACTTCATAATGTCAAAAAATTATCTTTTTGAGTCCATAATTCAATGAAATGAAAAAAGGGGCAAAATCGTTACTGCTAGAAAGATCCCACAGCCAGTTTTTTGGAAGACATCGTCAGTCGTGGATAAAGAGATAGTTTTTGAGAAAATGGAAAAGTCCAAAACTGTCAAAATGCCTTTTTTGTAGCCACAATTTTATTCTTTAAAATAATATGAAAACGTAGCGGCTAATGCAGTGGTGATCCCCGCTACCTTTTTTCCCATTATAACCTCAATCACAGATTTGAGGGGAAATTCTGAGAAAAAAGTCTCAGAAATAGAGTCAAACATTCCCACCGTTGAAATTTTCGGAGGCCAGTGAAGGTGGAGCAAGTTAGAATGAGTCTATAGAAATAATCAGACGCAACGAAGTCGCCGGTCTTTTGAATGGGCACCTATTTTCTTGAAAATTTGTGAATACGCTGTCGAGAAAAAGAAAACAATTTCAGCGAAAGGTGAGAAAATTTACCAAGGCGTCTCAGAAAAAATGAAATCCCATACATTTTGATAATACTTGATTTTGTCGAACAAGAAAGTTTTGCCCTCGAAGCAACGCAACACAAGTTGACTAAGCCGATAAAACATCAGTCGGAACCATTTATAAAAAAAATCAGACTTGGTAATACGACAAATTGCAGAACTTTCAATTGCTGTAAAAAAAACAATCGAAAACAAAACGAAATCCATTTTTTTAAAATAAGCAAAAAAACAGTATCAGATAGCATAAATGCCATCTAAAAAACGGAAAAATGAACCGACGGAAAGAAAACCGCAAACCACGAATCCGAAAAAATCAAAATATTTGAAACAATTAATTACAACCTAAAAAGATCTAAAAGGTACTTTATGATCTAAAAGGTACGCCTGCACACGTGAAACTACACGTAAAATAACCTATAAGGTACGCCTGCACACGTGAAACTGCACGTAAAACAAAAGTTGTTGGCGGAAAAAGTCTAGTTCCCAATTTTAATCACTTGCGAGAGCTAAGGAACTCATAAGCTAACTGTCAATTAAGCAGCCGTGATTTCATTTCGCAGTGACCATAAGTTTTTTCCATATATGATGCCATGCTAACTAACGCTTTTAAAGCAACTAAAACTAAATAATGCGTTAGGTAATTGTCAAATCAATTTTCGTACACACCACTGGACATTTTAACTAACTAATCAAAGTGCGACGAAGAAGCTTTCTTTAAAAGCCCATAAACGTACGACTAACAGTCAATATGGTAAAACTGAATCAGTATCGTTGCATATCCTCTTGATATTTAGGTGCCTTCTTGCATGATCAAATCTTTTTTTTTCTTATGAAAAAACAGATTTTCAACCGAAAAAGATTTATAGAAAATTCGTTTTTTGTTTCAGTGGGAAGCGAATCGAACAAAAAACACTGAAAGACAAACGTTTTAGGTTGAAATTGTTTTTGATTCGTCATAACCATTCATCAAATATTACCATATTACTGTTAATCTCGATCACTACATTACTTACAGCTGTTTATGAATTGTCGATGACGACACATGATGATTAGTCAACCCTGTTGAAGAAAACCCAATTTGGTTCCTTCCTGATATCGGGATCCCTGACAGAGACGACAACACCCTCCCGCCGCTCATTGACATACCTGCGGAGGAGCCCCCCGACGTGGTAACCGATGATGCTGTGACGGGGGAGAGTGTTTTTGCGGGGCTATTTTGGTTGATTGGTGTTTGGTGATGGGAGTAAAATTGGGCTTGAGGCGTGTTCGATGAGGCGACAGGGGGTTTGGTTGCCCCTAGGCCGGCTGTAGCGGAAGTAGCGGTGGTAATAAGGTTGTTATTAGTCAGTTTGGGAACGAAAACTGACAAAGGGGCAGCACAAGAAAGAAAGAAAGATAGACACCAATGATTAAGACAGAGTAATAAATATTTATAATTTTTGATTTTTGATTTACAATCCAAAAACAGGCACCCAAAAACTGTAACTCAAAAAATTGATTCTTATAACCATTGTTGTATTTTCAATAACATTTTCAACAACACTTCTTTGATGCTTGTTTAGAGGAAAATATTTTGAACAACACTTCTTTGATGCTTGCTTGACGCAGTTTAAATACTGGAGCAATAAAAACAAATTAGGTTGATGCAGTAGAAAACTGAAAATTTTCGATTACATTACGAAAAAATTCTGGGAGCTTGTTTTTGTTTTGCCGTGGCGACACGGAGAGAAAAACTTTCGGTCCTGGTTGAGTACCTCACCGGAAAGAATTAGTGTAAGAGAGCGTAAATTGATTAACCGTGAAAACCCATTCGTTGATTATAGTTTCAGCCAAAAGCGTATTTACACCGATTTGAAAGAGAATAGTACAAAATAACGACAGATGAAAAGGAAGATAATAAATGTTGAAAAAGTTGTGATCATAAGTAGTAAAATTAACTTAACAGAAACAGTTCAAACTGATTCCGATACCTCGCCTCTTTGGACATCGATCTTGTTATTTTGCGAATTTCCCCTTAATCGAGCAACCTGATTTCAAAACACCTCATGATAGCTATTAAGGCGAATATAATTTCAGATGTTTGGTCGAAAAAATGCTCATTCTTTTTCTCGAGATTACTTGGCTTTTACTGATTTAACTTTTCTGCTTATTACATCGAATATTAGCTAGGAACAATTAATTTGAGAACCCACAAACAAAACACCCAGAAACCGTACACAAAATGTCAATCTGTTTTCAACTGTACATTAAATGATGAAAAATTGGTCGAGTTATGGCTGGCTACTCACTTGCTCGACGCTTGGACAAATCTCCTGAGATGTTTTCGGATTTCGCTGAGCCAGAGTTACCAACAACTAAACAAAAAATATATAAATCATGAGCGGCAAGGAAAATTTTCACCGATATAAATTTGGTAAGTATTTCAAGGGGCTCATTAAATAAGATTTTGCTTAATCAAATTAATCGTTCCCTTTTAAATAAAAATCCTACAATCACCCCTGGGTATTTCGAGAAAAGTGGACAAAACAAACATGGAAATTTTCAAAATATTATATACATCTTTCAGTTTTTACTTCATTTCAACTTTATGTGCATAAACTTCATCTTTAATTTATATGTTCTTTAACAACATTCGCTTTTAATTCGATAATTAAATTTTGATTAAAATTGTTCTCCATTCAACCGACACTAACTTATCAAATATTCTATTGTGTAATTAATTCACCATTCACTTACCATATTTGGACGACATTGGAGAACTAGGCACGTGAACACTCGAGTATTCAGCCGTCACATTTGACTTCGCAGCTAGAGATGGAAGGAACTTATTCTGCTGCTGCTGGGACATACCTCCAACGTCCATACTATGGCCACTTACAAGGCCACTCATCCCTACAGTTCCCGAATTCATATGACTCATTTTACTTCCAGTAAAAGACGATGCTGAATTGTAAGTGGAGTTCGCGCTCATAGGCGAAGACAAAGTTGAGCTTTCTGTTTGTTTTATATACTGGTGATCACTTATAACTTGGTTATTAGAACCAGTAGGCATAGCTAAAGTTGAGGCATAGTTTACGAAATCTAAAGTTGCACTTTCACTTCCACCGAATGTTTTCTCAACATTTCCAACATGATGTGCGCTACCATTGCCAGCGAGCCTGTTTTTCGAGATGGAATCACTCGCTGTCAATTGGAGGTGTCCTGGTGTTTTAGACGTTACAACTCTCTGGACACTTTCTTGATATTTAGATTGCATCATTTTGCTTTCATAACTCGGAGATCCACTGTTATTCGAAGTCGTTGACTTAGAGGGATCCGATACTTCCGAGCTCGGGTTTCGTTTCGCACTTTTCTCCGACAAGACTTTATTGATCACACTATCGAAATTCATGCTTGAAAATGTTGATTCCGGTGTGGATTTACTTAGCTGAATCTCCGGTGTTCCGGATCCAGGCGGGGTAAAATCAGTAGCCGGTGTCGGAGTTGCGCTTTTTCCGACCTGAGACCTTCCCTGAGGTACTGATTTCTGAGGCGACGACGACGTCGTTACACTACTCGCTAAGTTTGAACTTATTTTCGGATTCGGTTCTCCGAACGCTTTCACCGAATTATTACTACTTTTTGTTCGTTTACGCGGCTTCGCTTGTGTAGCTGTAGTACTACCTGTACTTTGACTAGACGCTTGTGCCATATCCATTGATTGCTGAAGCAAATTTATATCGTTTTCCGAGATTCCAAATGAGTCCGAAATTCCATGAATTCCTTTCATTCTATTGTCGCCATTATAATTTGCAGGTTGCGACATTGATCTTGACATGGAGTTTGAAGCTACCAGGACATCGTTGAAATCACTGACTGGCATTGCGGAACCATCGCCTTCCAAAATCTGCGACAAAAGCTTCTCACAATGTTCGTCATTCTCAACCCCTTCTAAATCTCCCTTTATGGAATTCTGCATGAAGTTGTGACTAGCCATTAACTCATGCCCCGAACTCTCAAAGTCGTGTGAGTTGAAAAGTGAGTCAGGTTCCAGAGTCGAGAACAGATTCGGATCGTTGTTGGAACCAAAGAAGGAAGACGAAAAGGCAGACGACGTTTGCGAATCGAACGAACTCGCGTAATCGATTGTCGTCGAGTTACTAAATTCCCTGTGTGAGTTATCCAACATCCCTCCTGGAAGAGGAAATTTCCTGAGTGGATCCAAAACTACCTTTTGCTTTTTATCGTCGGCATTCGATGACGACTTCTTGCTTTTTTCTGTGTCCCGTTTTCGTTTTTCTTTCTTCTCGATGACATTCGCCGACGTATTGATAACTGGCACTGTTTTCGGAATAGTTATCGTTTCAGTCACCTGATCTGAACTGCGACTCGTCGGAATTCTAATCTCAGTTACAATTTTCGGCTCAGTTGATTCGTCGGCTAGGTAAGTCGGAACATTAACCGGTGTCATCATTCTGCTGTTGGAATTCTCTCCGTTATCATCAGAACGCGATCGAGTTTTCTCAAAATCACACACAACATCACTAAGTAGCTTTCTAGTCGCATTATCGAGCTCAGAAAGATTCATGTCTTCAAGTTTAACATTAGAAGCATCATCGCCAAGAGCATCCGAGGAACTCGATGCAAGATTTCCGAGTTTCACTGAACCAATAGAAGGCGCCGGCGACGCGGGAAAAGGCGAGGGTTCGCTGCTTATATCGTCATCAATAGACCCGAACGGAAGCGAACCGCTAGTTACAACTGACGACGCTCTTGCATGATGCAAGGTTTGATTCTGCGACTTTGTTTTCCCGTGGGAGGAATTTTCCGAGGAACTACTCGGAGGCATCATGGATCCGGCGCTTGTAGTTTGGATGTAACTTGAACTCTGGGTTGAGTTTGACTCCATTTGCACGCCGTGCTGATGGGGAATTGGTTTAACCGTGTTGTAGGACTGATTACTTGCGTTTTGTAAGTAGAGCTTTTGTCCAGAATTATTCTGTCTTGGGTGCTGGTTTGAATTCGTGTCACCGCCTCGCGATGTCGGGACTAAAAAAAATTAACATGAAAAAAAATAGCTAAAGAACTTTATTTTGATCGTACGCACAACAAAACGCAAAAATATCTAACGTCTTCAAATATTTTGATGTTTGTATTTCAAAATTTAATTTTCAAGTCCTCATGCAATTCCAAATTTTTCTTACTTCTTGAAGGTTTTCTGTCTACTGTGAGACCAAATTAGTTAGCATTGGTGATAATAAATAATAGGTTAGTTTTATATTTTACATTATTGTTCATCTACATCAAAGGCAAGCTGCAGGCATCGGGCAAAACAAAATGGAACAGGGCATTCCGAGTCAAACCTTGAGAGATGGTACTTTGGACAGAGGGCGACGAACTTATTTTACTCTTCACGACAGCGTCCGAAACTGTTGCTGCTTTAGTTGTCGGTGAAATATTCATGACATTAATCGTCGAGCTTGATGACGACAACTTGGGCGTTTTTGCTATTGTTGTATTGTCGTTATTTTGACTTCCTGGAGGTGACACAAAGTCAAACACACTCCGCGAAGAATTACAACTCGATTCTTTCTTGCTTTGAGCTTTCTCTTGACTTTGAGTTTTCTCTTGACTTTTACTACTGGTGAAAACTTCATTCAACTTGACTGTCGCTGGCATTTGGATCTTTCCTCCGATGAACATATTTTGCTCAAAACCAGTCATCATGTTGTACGTTTCTTGGAAATTGCGGTAAGCTGGTTTCATGAAATCCAGATTACTTGACTGATCAAAGAAGTTTTGATTGAAACAATTTTCAGTGTATTGTGAGTTTAAATGCTGTGCCGGAATCCCGTGGTAGTTTTTTGGACTTGTTTTGACCTTGTTGGTTTGGGCTTCCGTGGATGTTTTGGGAGGGGCAGCTTTGACAATTAGAAGGAAAAGTTAGAGTTAAATCACACCAAAACACTCAACATTAAACAGCAATTATAAACTTTGAAGTAAACAGCAAAATCAGTGCCGTAAACCAAATTTTCTTCATAAATTTGCAAATCAAAAAATATTCATATTGGAAATAAATATTAAATTACTAAAATTCACTGTGTTTCAAGAAAAAAATTTTTTTTCATGTGAAACTTTTTTAAAAGCCACTTATGAAAGATTAGAATATAAGTAATATGAAAGATTAGAACAGAAAACTTCAACGCTCACGAGTGATCTTCTAAATTAGGGTAAAAATCATCACAATCAAATTACCTTTCGAATTCTGATCCATAGAAGAAGCATTTCCACTTGGCGTGCTACTCATTTCTGATGACGGCGTCATGGACACTATAGTCACATTGCCAGCCCGTCCTCCTCCCCCAACCATTCCCTGTTGACTGTGTTGTACCGGGGGGATCTGTTGCTGGTGTTGTTGTTGTTGGGTAAGTCTCTGATTTTGTGGAGGCATCTGAAAAAGCAACACATTATTGTGAGTTTCTGTAATTCAAAACCTCTATACAGAGGCGGAGGTATGATTCGCATAAACAAGTAAAAACAAGCACTATTACTATTCGCATAAACAAGCAATAAAAAAAAGCGACAACTGATAACCTTCTCCCAAAAAAGACACCCCCCCCCCCCAACTATACCGAGCCATCTTGGATTCAGAATAAATATTGACAAACATGTTGTTGTTGCTGATGCGGATGTATCTGGGCGTGCTGTTGATGTTGATTCTGGATCATCTGCTGGTGTTGGTCATTTGATGACGTCATCGGGATTCCCATTGCAACTCCATGTTGTTGTTGGTGTTGCTGGTGGTGCATCATAAGGTCACCAGAATGTTGCGTATGCGGGGCATTGTGAGACTAAAAACATATATTGCAGTATTTATTTAAATTTTTTCAGAAATAAATTCTTTCTTTCTTGAGTCCTGTCCATTTTAATAATCTTTTTAACAGATTTTTATCTCCAGTTCACGTTTTTTTTTCAAATAGGTATCAAAAAATGTCGACCGAGGAGAAGGTTCTATTACTCATTTCAGCGCAATTAGCTCATTTCAAGTAAACGTCAATTGTAGGTAACAGAAACATAGCCAACAGTTAAAAAAGAAAAACGAATGCATGTAAACAAAAAAAAACACTTTTTTTAAAATTATCTTTTGAATTTCAAAGAAAAAACAGATGCCCTTAGCGCTCTTTAAAACTCTAGAGCAATTTATGATTGGCATTTTTTGATAAAATTAACCCAATTTGGAGACTGGATTAATAAGTAACAATTTTATTTCGCTGGGAAATCTGAAAATTATACTTCACTTTCAATTAAAAAGAAAATGAACTGGACTTAAGAAGAAATCAAAAGTCAAATCGTGAAAAAAATAAATTTCAGCCTGAACAATTTTTAAGACTTTTTCCTGAAAAAAAAACAAAAAAATCACCAAGACCTATATAAGAGGTCATTATGTTTTTTTTTCAAATAGATTTTTTCAAATAGATTTTTTTCAAATAGTTTTTTCATGACTCTTAAAAAGTTTGCTTGACATTTAAAAATGTATTATAGTGTTTTACGTAAACTATAGATTCTACTAAAATTGCAGGGGATAGGTTCGACGAAATGAATCATCAATTTTCATTTTAACTGAAATCCAGGCAACAAAACTTAAACCACGAAGACCTGAAATCTTCGGACACTGATTGATCTCTTCCGCTTTATCCGTTCCTAAGGTATCGGATATCTTGTTTTGTTCACACTTCTATATCTATTTAGTCTTAGTCATTAATTAATTTAATTATTCATTTCTAGCAGCAATTGCAGATTGCTGAGGATGGATGAATAAAAAAAGGAAAAAAATTGTGGACAGAAAGAAAAAAACAGACATTAACAGAACTAAGGTTTCAGAAATCAACCTGGTGGTGATGATGATGATGACGATGATGCTTTCTAGATTTTTTCTTTTTCCGCTGTTAAAAAAACTAAAACTGTTAACTTCATTGAATTTTATTTTTCCCGTTGATCAGATATGAAGAGGATTTGCTTGAAGTTGGCCCGTAGTGAGCAAACCACTAAAGCGAATCGGAACTTTTTGTGCTACTTGCACAGTAGTCCAAGCTGTGGGTATTTTAGCTTTTACTAAACATTAATTAACCTGTTTATGAAAACTAGTTAACTGCATTTTTCTAGATTTTCTCCTAATTCTGCTTCGATCGGTAACGCCACAACAAGCAACCAAAATACAACAGGCAAAGCTCAAGGAAAGCGTCAACCCGGATCGTTTGAATAAGAAATTTGCTCTAAGGTCGATGGTGAGCGCGCTACGCTGATAACTGGTTTGAAATTTTGTACAAAGTTGTACCACCCTCTATCGGCAAGTTGTTTTTTTTTGTTGTGAGTTGCTTTTTGTTGTGAAATGTTTTTGTTGCGAGTTACCGTATTGCGGTTTAGTGTTGCGGTTCCACAGTTAATGTTTCAAAGACAAGACCAAAATAAAGGATAAATCAATCTCGACAATCTTCGATTGAGGAGTACTGGAAAAAAAAACGAAAATGAAAACACGAGTTGGACGACACTTCTTATTTGCAACTACAAACAACAACAACGGCAACAACAGCAAAACCGTTTCGAAGTACCTGTGAGTGTTGGAGTGAGGGTAAGAAATCCTTGGACATCTGGTGTTGTTGTTGCCCCCCATGCGAGTGTGCGAGAGAGTGAGTCGGGGGCATGAGCATCTGCTGCTGCTGTTGTTGCATTGTCACTCCACTTGAGATGGGTGAATGCTGCTGCTGCGATTGTTGCATCATTTGCGCCTGCGTTTTGCCCATCTGGGGCTGAAGCGGAGGGACAAGGCTTACAAGCTTTAAACAATCTAAATCTTCAGGAATAATTGAATTCCATATCATTTAATTCACTTAGTAAACTAAAAAATAGGTGTTACATTTTTACTTAATTCATAAGTGCTCTTTTCTTAAGATAGCAACTACCTTTCCTACTAAAACGAAATGCCTCAACAACGCAACATTTAAGAGAAAACTCGTTAATTCAGAAAAATTGAGCAGCTGTTTTTCGATCTGGGTGATAGAACCTTTATTTCAAAAATAAGATGGGGGGAGGAAAAAAGCCAAAAAATCCACGCGTACTGAGTGGTGACCTGAACATTATCTTTCGACATCTTCGGCTCTTTTTCCTTCACCCCCTTCCACTTCACTTGAGCATCAGTTTTATGGTGGTGTTAAGGAGGCTTTTTTTTTACAAGTTCAAGTATGAAGACCAAAAAAGTTTGTCGTATCATAGTTAGGTCACATGCCAATTTTTGTAAAAATTGAAGGGTATGAATAGAAAAATTACATATAAAAATTAGCAGGTGGGGACAAAAGGAAAAGAGAGCCATCGTCTACCATTTAAAAGCTCCTGGACAATTTCAGATCGATTAAACAAAACGGTTTCTGTCAAAGAAAAATACACATTCATTTCGACTCACGATCATTCCGTATGGTCCCATTCCCGGTTGCATTACCCCTCCCGGTCCGATAGGGGAAGTCATGGCGAAGTTGGGGGAGAACTGACTCATGGGCGAGGTGTGCGGGTGGGGGGCACCGTAAGGCGAGGCTTGAGAGGGACCCATTCGCCCATAAGGAGAATGTCCGCCGTACATCACTGAAAGATAAATTGAAAATAAAAATTATTAAGAAGACTTCGTCTCACAATTTCAAAAAGAGAGGCGAAACGGACCTTTGTATACAGAGGCGAAGCGGAGCTTTGCACCAACTACTTGCGATACAACAAAAACATAGAAAAAAAACATAAGTTGAAAAAAAAGTTTTAATTGTTGAAAAAATTAGGTGAACCAAAACTTTCGTATGTCTAGATGAAAACAACTAGGGGCCATGCTAAAGCTGGAGGTGTGCGTTTAATATTGAATAAATTTTCCATACTGATGCTGCAAGAAAAATGGGATTTCAAAAACTGGTTTTTTCACTTGAACTTTTCATCTCAGATTTGATTGTGTTTCAAAAAGTTTCCAAAAAAAAAACGGTCTAAAACGGTCAAAATGATTGCTAAAATCCATGACTTTTTCTGAACAGAGCAGATTGTAGCCGCTTAAGCAGAGAAGATTTCCAAAATCGGGTTTCTCGATTGATGAACCCCATAATCATAGCCTCTAGTGTGAAAAAATAGGGCTTAGCCGCTTATGCAAAAGGGATTCACTCAACCTGTAATTTCGATTGAATCAAAAACCTCAGATTTGGGAGGGTATTTTTCGAGAAATGTCAAAAACTTTCAAATGAAACGGTCAAAATTTTGCCGCTCATTTAGGGAGCTTTTGGAAACCGTTCTTTTCATTGAAACTAAAAACTCAGATTTGAGAGGGGTATTTCTCGAAAACGAAAAAAAAAAAATCAAAAATATGGGTCAAAAATTCTCCACAGACTTTTTCGAAGTCTGTAGACAGAAGGGTCAAGTAGAATGAGACTCTAGGAGAGTATACAGTTACACAAGGGAGTAGGCGGTCTTTCAATTGATCCCCCTTTTTTGAAAATCAGTAGAAGTTTGAGAAAGCTTCCCATGAATTTGGAAATAATGTTCAATGGGAAAAAATACTTCAACAAACCGATTGGTAAACATACAATACAGCCAACATGAAAAATGCAGAGGAAATGTTCAAGTTGTGTTTCTCTTGAAACGACCCAAAATTAGGTCATTAGGCCGAATAAAAATAGTCCCAACTAAATTGGAACGAGGAACTTTTTTAAGTGAAAAAAAAAACGAAGGAAATACGAAGTCAAGGTAAGTAAGATTAAAAATTGCAGGAGTAAATCAAACATTAAAAGCAACAATTAAGAATAGCGCGGAGTAAAAAAAATTTAAAAAAATGTGACAACTAAGCCAACAACAGAAAAATAATTGGTCGACAATTTTATTTGAACAGAATATTTACTGTTTGAAAAAACAGGTCCTGGTCAGATTCAAACCCCTGTCCTTTGCCAACCCAAAAATATTCGTTACCTCCAGATTACATGGCCTCGATCGAATAGAGGTTTGCATTCAATATAAGCCAAGATACAAGTGATTCAAGGGATTCTGTTAAACAAGTTGAAACCCGAAAAAGTCTGTAGTCCAATTTGATAACGCTTGCTAATCGCAAGCGTAAAGAGAATAATGGTTCATAATATAACCAAAAAACATTGCGCGAGATTTTTTTTCTGTATGAAAGATGGCAAATCTTATTTGATTTACAAGAAACAGCTAGTTTTTCAATTAATATGAAACACCACGCCGAATATTGCCATTAATTTAGATCAAAACTTCTCTTACGAACTTACTTTGAAGTTTAGAGCGCGAGCAATTCATGTTGGCAGAAGATTCTAAGCCCCACTCCTCCAAAAAAAATGAAGCAGTAAATTTTAAGTCAATATATAACTCATAACCCCCCCCCCCCCCAAAGCAGATAAATGTCGTCGATGACTCACTTGGTGCATAGGAGGGACTCTGAGGAGGCATCTTGGCAGAGATCATAGGCGAAGTCATCTTGACAGGACTCGGATGTCTCCCTGCCATCTGCACAAACAAACACACCATACAAATAAACCATTTTCAAAAAAAAACGGGTCTTGTCTGTCATACGGCCCAAAATGATAATTTTGGTCTATCGAAAATTAATTCCAAATGCTGATTTCTGATTGGTTGAAAATAAAGTTTTCATTAAAGACGGAAGCTCGTAATTGTGGGCCATATAATAGAAAAAACCCAAAAAAGAACGCCTTTTCCTTTGAGAGTTTAGGCCTGAAAGCAGTTTAGATTTTTACCGATACAATACATTAGTAAACCTCCATTTCTTGATCGAATTTCCGAGCATTTAATTTAGAATTTGAAAAATATAGTTTGACACCCAGTTTTTCAAACTGATTTCGGATAGTGAATGTCTATTTACCTGTGGATAGAAAAAGAACCTCATCGTTCAATTCAAACTTTGTCAGAGCGATACAAGAAATTAATTGAAATGGATATTCAAGAATTTGTATAACTTTTTCTTTCACTTTTAAAATTTATACAAAAATCAAGCACTACTGATGTATTGTGCCGACTGTTTTTCAAGTGAAATGAGATTCAGCAATACTTACTTCATATCCTTCTAAGTCCGCAATATGGCCACAATTTTAACTATTTCAATTCTTTTGCTTTACTCACCGAGGAATCATGGAAAACTTAGGTCAAACTTTTAAAATAACGGAAAGATTTCTTATTAAAATTTAAACTAAGTCCAGCAGCACTAGGCTAAAAAAGTTCTAAGCTGAGCTAAACAAGTAGCACGCTAAATCATCTTAAGTTTTTCATATCAAAACAAATTGAAAACGCAACCCAAACTACCCATCTTTTTAAAACAAGTGTCATAGAAAGAAGAGAAATTCAAGACTTGATTATGACCGTTTTAAGCAGCTGCAGCTTCGCCAAAAATTCTAATCGACATTCGTTCTTTTTGAAGTGATTGAGATATTATAAGAAGTTTACCCTATGCAGAAGTTTACCCTATGAAATAATTTTCAACCACTTTCGAGTGATTTCAAAAAATAACATTTTGATCAACCGAAATTAATAACCTTTCATATTCACTATTTCAGAAATTCGTCTTATTCTTTTAATGCTATTGTTCTGCTTTACCATTCTATCTAACCTGAACCCAAAAAATTGGATATACTTGTATATTCCATCAAATTTTCGCTAAATAGCAGTGGAGTGCGGTCATAAAGTAGACACGCCGTAAGCCAATCAGAATCGAGATAATAAAACGAACGTACGGAATCTTTTTTTTTCGATGCTGATTGGTTTATGACAAGTCAACTTATGACATGTCTACTTTTTGCTACGTAACCCTGGCGTTTGAGGTAACTTTACACTGAGCTGTGATAGAAAGAATCCAAGTGAAAAGATGAAGAGTATGTTATGTGGTGCTAGGCAAATAAGACGAAAAGACATTAAGAGGACATGACAATAAAACGAAAAATGAGAGTTAAATGTCTTTTTTTTGTATGTAACTTCTATGAATTCTATTCCTCAAAAATACAATTTGAGAAACTGTGAGCAGCGTCGTCGTAACAGCTGTCGTCTTATTTGCCTGACACCATGTAATGTATGTAAGGTTACAGTATAATGTACACTAAATGCTATCATTTGAATGGCGTAATGATCGAACCAATTTTCAGTTATCGTCTACAAGTATATAAAACAGATTTAGAGTAGATTCAAAGATCAATTTTTTTTTCAAACCAATTGTCAATTCAACTTCCTAAGAAATACACGATTTTCCAGAAATTGATGAGTTTTCCAGAAATTAATGAATTTTCTAGGAATTCCAGGAAATGACTAATTTCCTAGAAATTGCTAAATTTTCAATAAATGACTGAGTTTTCATTAAATGAAAGTTTGTGTCTTATTCGCAGTGACAAGACCTAATCCAATTCAGTGACTACTACATACCACGAGGTGCGGACTTGCAAACCAAAGCTAAAATGTCACACAACAGGGGTTAGAACAGCCAACTCAAAGCAAAATATCAAATCATCATAATACATTGCAAAAAGTTTGAACAGCGGAAATAATTGAAAAGAACAATCTCCCAATTTCTACTTTCTGCCTAAAAAATTAGCTTTTATATACAGAAATTATCTGAAATAGGTCATATGCTCTTTTGAATTAATTTTGTCAGTTCCAACTTTTCACAATTTTTTATTGAAAAAATCAGGCGTGAAGGACCGAAGGCGCGAAAAATTTCAACCAATCAATGCCTTTTAAACTGATCAAAACTGACTGTTTTCATCGCTAATTTCCATCGAATTTATGAAAAACGAACTCTGATTGACTGAGGAAATTTCGCGCATTCTTTTTCACGCATGAGGTAATCCGCCACCTCAAAAAAAAATCCAATTTAAGGGTCTTTTTTACTAATTCCGCTCAAAGTAGTAGCAAAACGTAACATCTAAAATAATAACGCGAGATTATAATTAAATTTTGACAACTCAATCAATCAGTTGAAGCTTTTTTTTCAGACCTACAAAACTGAATGGAATAAGTGAAAAGACCCATAGTTGGAACCAGTTTTTATTTCAAAGAAGTCATTTAAATAATATACAGCGACTACTACGCTTTCTCTGCCATGGACATCAAAGGAAAGAACATAGCCAACTAACAGTTAGAAAAGAGTAATGAACGCAGGGAAACTAAAAAAAAACGGTCTAGTTTTTTTCAAGAGCCTTAAACTTTTGAATTTCGAAGAAAAAAAATAGATGGCCCTGAAGCTCTTTGAAATTGTAGAACAATTTATGATGGACCCTTTTTTGTTAAAATTAACCCAATTTGAGAAAATTGGATCAATACGTAATTTTTTTCAAACATGTACACTGAAAAAAAAAACGGCTCGGTTAAACATACATGCTGCTACAAAATGAAATTATCATAATAAGTATAAAATCAACAACTACAATGTCATGTAAATATACAAATACAACTTGTATAAACAAAAATGAATAAATTATTACTAATATTAGATTTAAAAAACTCGAACAGAACTAATGGATGTAACAATAAAAAAAAATTTGTGTTTTTCTATTTCAAAAATTTTGAGTTCAAACTTAAATTTTTGTGTAGCTTAAACTTTTCTCAGCTCAACGTTTAAATTGTTTAACTTTTATTACAACTGTTGTTTACTACAGATTTCTTTATCCAATTTGTTTTAAGGAACCTGTTTTGTTTTATTTGTTTTGTGCGTTCGTTTAACTTCACAGGTACTCTGATATAAATAAACTGACTACCAATTTCATTTTTCTGAATATTTTCCACCACATCGAACATTCTAGTCAAGCTATGCTGGGTAATAAAAAGTTCGGCTGGTAAAACCTTAGACTTGAGAAGTAGATCGTGCATGATCATATTTTCTGCGGAGATAGCTCACTTTGATTCCCCAATTAATTTGTTTGTTTATTCTGTTAAATTGAGACATGAGTAAAATTTGAAAAAATACTGAGCTGAAAAATTAATGTGACAAAACTATGGATCTAAAAAGCATAATTCTTCTTTCTTATGGTACCATGAGTGGCACGCAGTATATTGAATTAATTGTAACAGCCATTTTGCTTAAGCATTAACTCAATTCAGCTGAAAAAGTAAGGTGTATGTCCACTTAAGTTCCAAGATACCTGGCATGTTTCTTTGCGGGTTTTGTTTCTTCTCTTTAAATAAGTCCCCAGAGACAAAAAATTCCGTTTTATCAACAAAAAGGACAAGTTTGTTTTCATTCAAATATTATGTACTTTTTCTAGCGTTTCAAGCATTGAGATCCTTAGGTCCTTAATTGAGTTTCCTGAACATAAGATAATTGTATCATCTGCAAATTGCACTAAATTTATGTTCCTGTTGATTTGGTTTTCAAAATCATTTACATGAAAATGAAAACCAATGGTCCCTATCAATGTCTTGTGGAACGCCATGATTAAGCGTTAACCAGACAGAATAATGATTTTGAAGCTTTACACATTGCTGAAGGTCTCTTAAAATCGTTCAGGAGATTTGATGCATTGTTGGAAAAACCATACCTTTCAAGATTTCACAAGATATGGAATTGAAAGATTTAGCAAGATCTAGTAAAAGTTCACTAATTTTTCTTGATTGATCCAGGTTTTCACAAAACAATTTCGATAAAAGTGACAACTGCATCAGTCGCAGATTTGTTTTCCTAAAACCCGAATTGGTAGACGCTTAATAACGAACTTAATTAAAGATTTTCCATAATTTGGTTCAAAAACTTTTGAAAGCGTGTTTGTCACACAAATAGGCCTACAATTTGATGCAACCTGTGTTTTACGTTTTTGAAAACAGGGATGATATGCTTTTTCGAGGAATGATGGATACTGGTTTTGTATTATACTTTAACTTACGTTAAACGTTAACTTATACTTTAACTTACTTGCGAATTGGAGGTGTGTTCCGATAGAAAGTTTACCTTGTTGAAGGCAAAAAGCTTGTATTCCCATTGGCCCTGGAGATTTATTCTACGGTAATTTATCTATTTCTTCCGAAAATTCTTTTCTTGTGACGCAACGAAAATCAAAAAACGGCTTTTGTACTTTGTTCTTTTGGTTTTCGGGTTATATGTTCACCCTTAAAAATACCTAATTTTGAAAAAACTTGATTCAAACGATTTGCTATTTCAGTTAAATATTTTATGTTTTTCAAGATCTATTTCGCTAATTTTTACTGGTTTTTGATTACTCTTTTTCCCTAATTTTTCGTTTATGAAATCCTATCGTTCTTTACTGTTGGAAAGCTGCTGAAATCTTTCCATGTGATATTTTTGTGAAGCAATTGCCAATTTTTGGTTGACCAACTTTCTAGCCTTTTTGTATTCTCAGAATTAGTGCGCTACCTCAAAACAAGTCTTTTTCCATATATTAAAATACCTATGTTTATTGCTGATCAGAGTCATCACGGATTTATCAATCCATGGTTTTTTGTTTAGAGTAACCAGTTTTTTATTGATATTTTGTGCGATATGGAGCATGCGCACTTATAACTTTTTCAACAGTAAGCCCAAAAGCCTCAAACATTTCCGATAACGAGGATTTTTCATACCCTTTTGACCAATCATTAAGTGCAAGATCTAAGTTGAATTTTTCCCTGATTAAAATTATGGAAATCTCTTGTATAAATTCCAATTGTCATTTTTTGGCTTGCAAAAAATCTGGGTTGAAAGGCAATTCGTAAGAATTAACATAATTTATTTGGTTGTTGGAAACTAAGCAAGGGTCGATAAGTGAGATATTATTATCGGTTACACGTGATGGTTTAGTGGCGTTTGGAAAATTTAATCTACAGTTTGCAGCAAAGTCGTAAAGTTTTGATGACTCGTCTTGTTTTAAAAGATCTATACTGTATTCCCCAAATACAACAACTTCCATTTTTGAAGCAAACGCTTGAGAAATTTCACCACCTTATTTGTCAAAGTGCTGAGAGAGTTTTGTTCTTGCGCAGTACAAAACATTAATTGAATTTTTTTTCATACATGATGACTCAATTTCAACCCATAATGACCCAAGAAAACTTTCTGTCAGCAGTCGAGATCTTTGCAAATATGCATTTTGAATGATACAGAAGTTCAAAATCCAACAACTCCCCCTATTTTTGGACCTGTCCATTCTGAGCGCGGAAGATGAACAAATTATGTTTTGAGCCTAAAAAAATATTCCCTACTGTTTTGTTATTGAGCCACGTTACTGTTGCTACAACTATAATGTTCATCGAAATTTTACCTAAAAAATTGACAACTTCTTGATATTTGTTTTGCACGCTTCTGAAATTTATCAAGCAAAAGTTGACTGTGTTAGATTGACTTTCAGTTTCCAAAAATTATTCATAAGATAATAGTTCTTGCAGGTCATGAAAGTGGCCAGCATTTTCCTCAATGTCCCCTGAGAGGACTAATTTGAGTCTTTATACGATACGCAAAAAACTTAAGTTAATATAATACAATAGTACATAAAGATATATAACACAATAATACATACAGATTTATTTCGCTGGGAAATCTAATAATTAATTTCCATTTTCGAAATCAGAAGTTGATCACGTTTTTCGTGACCTTTACACTTTTGTTGTTTGATAAGGGAGTTTGCCTTCGTTTTAACAATGCAAACGCACTGAACTTAAAAAAATCACAAGTCACAACGCGCAAAATCAAAACAGCGTGAACAAAATTCAAGATTTTTTCCTGAAAAAAACCAACAAAAAAATCAGCAAGACCTATATAAGAGTACCAACTACGTTCATTACTCTTAATCAATAGTTTTCAACATTTTTGATGATATCTATAGTGAAATTAATAGTTTCCAGATTGAGTCAAAATCAACGCTCAATTTAAACAACTTCATTGATATGAAACTGGTCTTAATAGTTGTAAATACACCTCATACATGCATAACCACTTTCAATACCAGACAAATTGCTTAATCGCTTTCCCATTTATACGCTATTCACATTTCAATGGCATGAAAAAAGTTATTGACAGCGACCCCTTTTTCCGAATAACTGCAGATTTGATTCAGACATGTCATAAAACCAAGTGATAAAATCAGGGAAAGCAACTTGAATATACTCAAAGTCAAATTTCAGATTGATCCAACTTACCGGATCATGTCCAAATCCCATAGCCGCCGCTTCGCCTGGTGACGCTAAAATATAAGGCCCATGCGGCGACGGAGCAGCAGGATCATATCCCCAAACCGGCCCTCCTCTTGCATGCATACCCATTGAACCCGCATGAGGACTGGCCATCACGGCTCCTTGCATCGTTGGAACCTGCTGCTGGTGTCCTGTTCTGACAACCAGAGAGGGGTTCGACATCGTTTGGGGTGGGGGAGGGGCCATTTGAGTCGGCGTCGGAGGTATAGCTCCCATTTGAGACACATTAGTATGCTCGACACTATTTTGCTGGTGCAACTCACTCCCTGCATTCGAAGCTGTATCATTTTGATCAGAAATTGACGCTACTGCGTTACTTGCTTCGGATCCATTCAGATCTACACTCTTCGGTGTTGCGGGAGGAATGCTATCTAGATCAGCTGTCGGATCAATTTCAACTAGATAACATGTCAAATCCTGACCACTAACGGCTTTATGTATCACAGCTTCTATAGCATGTTCATACTGGGATAAATTCGACATTATTATTGCGGCTGAAATGACACTTTGCTGTGTCGCTTGGTCTGCTAAGGAAAGTCTTCCATTTTGACTGGTCAGCTGTGACATAATAGCGTGACCTTGAGTTGCTACGGGGGCTTGTATGGGAGGGGGTATATCAAGTGGTAAGTCACAGTCGAATGGTGGGTGGCTTGAAGGATCTAAACATCAAAATCAAATCAGTCAAATCAATTTTAAAGCTAGTTGAAATTCAAACGGATGCAAAACAACGATCGATTTCGCAAGCTTAACATACTCGATGTTAGTTATGAACAAAAGTTTAAAAGATATACTCAGCTCACTTATGTTGTCATTTGTCATCACAGATGAACAAAACTTCAATTATTGTTTCTAACCTCGCTTCTTTTTAATCGGCTTGGGTGAAATTGCGCCACATCTGATGTAGCTGGGACCCAAAGGCAACACATCTTTCGACCGAGGTATCGGGATATCTTTCTTTCCATTGCTCTTGTTTGAGGATGAGCTTGTCTGAAAAAAAAACGATGTCTTCAAAATATAAAAACCCCGATCATATAGCAAGAGACAACTTACATTGCTTGAGGCTGAACTTGAATCGTGTGTGCCTAAAATATACAACGAAGTTAGACAATTTTGATTTAAAAAAGCAACTTCGCAGCACACCAACTCCATGCACACAAGAGTCACTCACAATCACACATGAACACAAATAGGGGACCATCTGCATTTTGCCAAAATTTGAGCACTATGAACTATAGTTTAGTACTTTTACGATACAAAAAACACGCCGCAATAAATAGTGCCGATTTAAATTATCCGGACAAAACGCATCAAGCTAGAAATTTAAAATGCGTTTTTCTCAAATTTGGTTGACTTTGGATAAAACAAGACTAAGACAAATCTTGCTTAGAATTTCAGCAAAATTAATACGGTGCAATTTGTTTTGCGAAAGTCGGGCCCAAAATTTTACCCAAAAATCAAAAATTTCGCCAAATCTATTAGGTCGATCACTGACTTAATTGTATTAAAGTGAGCTTCTTAAGTAACCCAACAAATTTTAAGAAAGATATATTCTAAAAATTTGCGCAAAATGTATAAAGATTGTTTTCAAATCAAAAATTGGTGTTTTATGTAGTAAAAACTACCTTTTTCGTCTATCAAAAATGAACAATCATATACAATATTTTGACGAGTATGCCCTCCCTGAAGTTTGTTTGGCCACCTAAGGGGCTGACTTTGATATAATGTCAGTGATCGACTATGTAGTTTTAGCGTAACTTTTGATTGACTAAAAAGGTCAAAAACTATCCATTTTTAGGGTAAAATTTTGGGTCCGAATTTCGCAAAAAAAATTGCACCCTATTAATTCTGCTGAAATTCTAAGCAAGTTTTGTCTTCATCATTTTTTATTTAAAGTCAACCCAATTTGAGAAAAATGCGTTTTAAAATTATAGGCGTTTTCGTCCGGATAATTTAAATCAGCACTGTAGCTTTCAACAAGTTTTCCTGACAACGCACTAAATTTCTGAAATAATTTTTCTCAAATTTGAACTAACTCAATATACTTCTTTAAAGTTTCGCGTTGGCCTTTTTTCGGCGGTTTTTGCTCTGAAATATTGGCGAATCGTGGTTGATTGAAAAATATTTTTTAAAAGTGCTCTTGAAAATAGGCACAAATGAAATTCTACGAAAAAGCGCAATCATTTTACATTGCTCTTTTGACTGTTTAAACGCAGTTTTGAAAATTCGATTGCAATTTTAACGCCATTTTACTGTCTAAAGGTCAGAATTATTTCAGAAATTTAAGACGTCTGATAAATTTGTTAAAGCTACAGTGCTGATTTCAATTAACCGGACAAAACGCGCTAATCTTGAAATCTAAAACGCATTTTTCTCAAATTGGGTTGATATTAAGTGAAAACCCATGAAAACAAAACTTGCTTAAAATTTTGGCAGAATTAATTTGGTGTAAATGTGTTCTGCGAAATTCTGGCCCAAAATTAACCCCAAAAATGAATCATTTTGGCTTTTCTTAGTTTATCAAAAAATTACGCCAAAATACCCAGTCGATCACAGACAAATTTATATCGAAGTTAGCCCCTCACTTAGCCCAACAAACTTAAAGAAAAGTATATTCTGTAAAAAAAAATTTGCAAACCGTCTTAAAAATTGTTTTTAAATGAAAAATTGGTATTTTATATAGTAAAAAGACCTTTTTTGACGATCAAACAAAAATAAATTAACTTCTACAATGTTTTGGAGAATATAATTTTCTTTAAGTTTGCTGGGCTAAGTGAGGGGCTAACTTTGATAACAATTTGTCTGCGATCGACTGGATATTTTTGGCGTAATTTTTGATTAAGTAAGAAAAGCCAATATGGCCCATTTTTGAGGTAAAACTTTTGGGCCCGAAATATTAATTCTGTCAAAACTTTAAGCAAAATTTGTCTTCATGAGTTTTCAGCTACACTCAACCCAATTTGAGAAAAACGCGTTTTAGATTTCAAGATTAGCGCGTTTTGTCCGGTTAATTTAAATCAGCACTGTATAATGCACGTTCAATTGATTTCTACGCAAGTATTTCAAAAAATCTGAGGGTAATGAAACAAATGTGTCAGGGACAACAAGCCGACCGGTCTTAAAGTCAAAGGTACTTCACGCCGAATTTTAAACTTTTAAAGGGCATAAAAATGCTACCAATTTGACTAAATTTTACTGCTTTTGACAAAATTACAAAAATTTGGTCCATTGAAATAGTTACTCATTCCTAAAACCTTACGAGTTCTTTCTAATCGTTAAACGCTGCAGTTTTTTAAAGGCATTAATTATACGATGAAAAAACTAGTTGTATGTTTTCGTTTAAATATTGAATGACATCCATTATTTTCCTAAAAATTATGAAGAAAGACAATATAAGCATGAAATATGTTAAATGTTTAAAAAACACAAACTATGAGTTCTGAGCTCATAATATTTTTCTGTTTGCAAATATTCATTAAATATTTAGGCCTTAAAAACCTATTTTTGTAATTCGGCCAGAAGAATTGTCCTGTCGGTTTGATGTCCGGCACCCAAAACAAAGCCCAAAGGAAAACGTAAATGATAAGCCAACTAATAACCCATTCACAAAAGTCAAAGGATATAGGTCGAATCACGTCTAACTATCATGCTGCGCAAGCCAAAACACGAGACAAATTAGCTGGGCTCAAATTTGACATTTACCGTTTTGTACTTCAGGATGGTAGCCCGGGGTCTGAGTATTAGTTTCTACAGTTAAGGCTTGCGAAAAGCGCTTCGCTTTACTGCTCTGGCAGTTACTGTTAATCACTTCATCTGTGGAATACATAGAAAGATTCAGAAATGTTACAACTAAAGAGAAAGAAGATCATCAACTGGTTTCCAGAAATCTACCTGTTTTTGGAGCTTCTGCTGTAGGGATTTCAATAGTATTAACTCCTAAAAAAAGCTCAGAATAAACGAAAGAGCTAAATATTCAAAAATGATCTCCGGTAAGTCAATTATCTTACCATCAACGCAAACTCGCACAATGCCAATTTTCCTTAGAGGATTGTCGACATGTTTTTTAGCGAGGCTCTCAAGTTGGGAAACTGCGGTCTCTGGAATTTTGATTCGCAAGCTTACAGTCGAAGCTTGTCCATTTGTCTTGCTCTCTAATCCTAGCGGATTAGAATGCACTGGCATATTTATCTGAAGATCAAAATACTACTGAGGTCACCGACAGAGGACCTGAGAGCTCCAGAACTGAACTTCGCTAAAGACAAGGGAGAACTTGATTATAAGAATGGGTCGATTCGTGAAGGGCTGTGACGTACTCCGTTTACATTTCCAAAATGACTTTAAATCAGAAAAACTGATCTGAAGAACATTTTGTCTGTAGTCGTTTAATTTCAGATTCATTTTGAAAAAGAGAACTTGATGAAAAAAGAACCCCACAGCTTCGATGTTGACCACTGACAAGGGATGAACTTGGTTTTTTTCTTTATTTCCACGCAAAATCAGGTACCAAGAAAAATTATCAGAAAGGGTCGATTTTTATATCATATTAGACCTGTTAAAGTCGTGAATCTACCGACTTAAGGAAGAATGAAAATATTTTGCAGACAACTTGAAGCTGTTAGAATCGAACAAAAGACCAGAAGATATAACAAAAGGCCTCAGAGCTCCGGAACAGTGGGTTAAGAAAAACAAAATGAACTTCGCTTAAGACAAATGCGTGAAATGTAACAGTCGTTCACTTGCGTCACATTCACTTCGTTCACTTGCGTCAAGAAGGATAGGCTTTATAACCATTGGCTCAAGGGCCGAAGACATTATCTCTCGTGCTTGTTTACTTGATGCCAACTCGCGGTTCACTTATGTGCCATTCTACCAGAAGGCTCATTCGAACCCGCCGAGCAAGCAACAATATCGGAACTAAGACCTTTGGTGGCGAAATTGCAAACAAAAGGAGATTGTTCGATTGAAACTATTCAAAAAGTCGATAAATCGCCCGACAGTTCCACCTGAAAAACTCGAGCGAGCGTAGTGTTGTCACATGAATTGAGTGGAGTCGGGAGGTATTGTGGCAGATTCCGGATCAATCCAAACCCTCACAAATCCGGATATTGTATGTCTAACATCGTCATCCTCCGGGAATTGTTGCATTGGAGGCCGGTGCCCATTACGTGACATTCGACCAGAATGGACGAAAATGCAGATTCGAAATTTTAGCAGCCAACCTTCCGAATTAGCAATTTTGAAGGATTAGCAGTGTTATTGGAACGATTAGCCAAACTGTGAAGGCTAGAATATTCTGGTATTTCAAATTTTTAAATGACGTCATATTTCTGAGAAACGTCAGAAACAGCCATTTCGGCAGAAAAACCAAAATGAAACAACAACAACAACAGTAGTTGCGACGATAACAACGGAAAAACTTCGAGTCGGAATTAGAGACGAGCAGAAATAGCAGAGACCGTTCCGAGTTGCAACTATTGTGTCGCTAAAATAGTTGCAAGGCCGTTGCGAACAACGGTGAAGGGTAGAAGACAGCCTTCCGAAGGAAAATAGAGGTCTTATTTCCCCGGATTCGAGAATCCGGAGGGGTCTCGGGATTTGGACTGAAACTATTTTAAATAAACTTTTAGCTTCCCTATTATGTCCTGAGTTGAATTTAATTAACATCTGAATTCATTTTGCTAGGATGAGAAGCTAGGAGTTGGGGAAAGGAATGATTGTGCCAGTCGGTCATATTTGGAAGTTTGACCTTGAGAGAAGCAAAAAACACTTGATTTTGGAGTGAAATTTAATTTTTCAAAAATTCGAATGGAGCCTGTCATGAACGATTTTCTCGCGATAACTGAAAGTCAAAAAAGAGAATTCAGATTAATCGAGTGACAATCGCGGAAAAGTTGCAAGATAAATCAGAAGGAAATTGCCATTCGCAATTTCCGAGACAATAATAATCTAGAGTAGAGCTGTCCTATTTGAAATAGAAGACAGAGTGTTCCTGAGAACTGGACAATTATACAACTGGTCAACTATTCGAACTGGACCAGAATGAACCTTCGGTGGAAAGGTGGACAGCTTGAGTGTCCCAATGGTCCACATAAAACTGCATTCTAGAGTACAAACTTATTCCTGTTGTTGAAACTGACAAACATTAAACTCATTTAGTTACACTATTTAATTCTTGAGTTGCTTACCGACTTAATTACTCCCAATTCTTGAGCGTGCTACAATGTGAGTACCAATTTAAATTTCTAGAGTGTGTTTTATAATTGTTATGTTGAGGTAGGGCGAGTTTTAGGTTGATCCATCTGAAATGGATCAAAGCTCCACTGTCTAATAAAAAGTAACTTAACGGATTGTTCCGACCCGGTTTTCAAACGGCGTTCATGTATTTTGGGTATCTAGAGACCTAAGTATGGGGACGTTCTTAATTCTAGAGTGGGGGGATATTTTAGTAGTAGCCTTTAAGCTGTAACTGGTCGCAGTCTCATGTCACAAACGAACCGAATTGGCTCCGACTGATTTGAGGTAGAAAAACACAAGAGATAGTGTCCCTGACTCTTGAGCCAATGGTTATAGGGCCTATTTTTCTTAAGCCTCATGTGTGATTGCAGTAGACGAATGTTACATAGTGTTTTTATGGCGCTCCTGGGTGTTTACGACATCAAGACTACGGAGTCGAACCCACTTGAGACAGCTTCGGGCTGAATGCCCATTCTAGAGTACCGGCGGTGCGGTTCGACAGGAACGTGCAAACCTTCCGGTTGTACCGCGATAGCTTTTTAAGAAAACTCGAGAAAACTTCCTGGTACGCTCTCCGAACGAGGCTTAGCTAACCGAGTAAAGGGGGCAACTAGGGGTACAAAAACACGAGCAAAAAGACAAAAAGCAAAACAAAAACCAAAAAGAATAGAAAAAGGAACAAAAACCATAAAACGAAAAAAGACAGTGACTTTGACACCAGATTAGTTGGATCAAACCTTTATATTAATTAAATAGTATACCCAAACTGTTTTACAAGTTCGATCGTTTCGATCAACCTAGTAATTTAACCCAGTAACCTTAATAAAGAGCCCGAGTGTGGGGCGTTGTCAAGGGTTTTTAGATAGCTTGGAACTTAGCTGAACAACAAGGAAACTTGACTGTAAGAGGTGACCAGCCGAGTGGGAAAGTGGTTCAGGAGCACTTGAGCTGAACCAATAGGAGACTGGACTGGAAGAGGTGACCAGTCGAGTGGGAAAGTAGCCAAGAAGGATTTGGCAGTTCTCGAGTTCTCAAGTTGGGCAGAACGGGTATCGTTAAAATTCACATTACATTATAGGAAATAAGTGTAAAATTGGATAAGCGATATCCCCCGGTTTTGAGAAACGTTTTTACTTGAGCAGGCCTGGAGACAGGTCTACGGTTTTCTCTTGAGAGGTTTAGCACCCGGCGCTTAAGGTAACTTTTGGCTTAAGAAGGGGGGCTAAAAAAAGGGGAGGTTAGAAGGGGGGCTGGTTAAGTTAGAGGTTGGCGGTTGTAAATTGTAAAAAGGGGGAAAATTAGAGTAACTAATTAGTCGACATCGTTGACTTAGTTACATTAGACATTAACACGCGTTGGTAACAATAAGTGGATATCGAAATTTGAACTTGAGTTAAGGGAGGTACCCTGGTCGGATTGGTAGGGGGGAACGGATAGACAATTCTGGTGATACCCAATAAGATTGTTAGTTGGTGGGAGGAAAACGCGTGGCAATTAGGTACCAGACAATTTTTTTTTTTCGACAAAAGGTAGACATTGGTCACCTTTGAATTTTAGGTGGGCTCATCTTTCCGTTTTTATTACTTTTTCTAGCTTGGATTTTTGTTGCATTTTGGTGAGGATTTGCGTTTAGTTTTTATACGAACAGGTGATCACAAGATAACTGCGCACAGGTTTTGGTCTCAAGTTGCTTGGAACATTGAAAGAGAAGTAATTAAAAAGAAATAAGAAAAAGGGCGTCAGCATTTGGCTTTTAAGAGAGGGTTTTTGGGAAAATTTTACTAGAGCTTGAGTGGTGACACAAGGTACAGTGAATCAAGAAGTCCCCATAACGAAGAAGAAAGAGGTCCCACCGCTCAGACTCTTGTCAACAGTCTTGGGACAGTGCCAAAGAAGTCTTGGGACAGAGCAGTCTGGGGACAGTCTTGGGACGGTGCAGTCCTGGGACAGTGTTGGACCAGAACAGTCTTGATACAGTCTTGGGACAGTGGTCTTGGGACAGTGGTCTTGGGACAGTGGTCTTGGGACAGTAGTCTTGGGACAGTGGTCTTGGGACAGTGGTCTTGGGACAAGGGTCTTGGGACAGGGTCTTCGGACAGTGGTCTTGGGACAGGGTCTTGGGACAAGGGTCTTGGGACAGGGTCTTGGGAAAAGGGTCTTGGGACAGTGGTCTTGGGACAGTGGTCTTGGGACAAGGGTCTTGGGACAGGGTCTTGGGACAAGGGTCTTGGGACAGTGGTCTTGGGACAGTAGTCTTGGGACACTAACCTTGGGACACTAGCCTTGGGACAGTAGTCTTGGGACACTAGCCTTGGGACAGTAGTCTTGGGACACTAGCCTTATACACTGGCCTTGGGACAGTACTCTTGGGACACTAGCCTTGGGACAGTAGTCTTGGGACACTAGTCTTGGGACACTAGTCTTGGGACACTAGCCTTGGGACAGTAGCCTTGGGATAGTACTCTCAGGACAAGGGTCTTGGGACACTGACGAAGTACTGGGACAGTACCGAACAGTCTTGGGACAGTAGAAAGAAGCCGGGGACGGTACAAAGAAGAGTAGGGACGGTAACTGGAAGTCGTAGGACGGTATAAAAATTGAATTAAAATTAAAATAAGTGTTTGAGACAGATTCAAAACAGAACAACACTAGTCGGAACCCGGTACGGTTGGGACCACAAATAAAGAAAGTTTCAAGAAAGGTTTTTATCACGTTGTATATTTCCTTTTAAAAATTCTTTTTCACAAAAGATTTTATTCGTAGAATAGAATTTTGTATATAATAATATTGTAAATACGATCAATTGTAAATAGAAATAATGAGACGGAGTAGGGTACCGGTGCTAGAAAAAAGGTCAAGTGGATCAAACACGAAATATAACTCGTCGCTGCGCGGAACGACATCAAGGGGCCCAGGCAAAACAAAAGATAACTTTTCAGTTAGCATGGTC